CACCAATAGGTTCCAGGCCTTTCAGGATCTACACAATGGAGAGGACGCAACACTGGAGAACAGTTGGAAAGGGATTAAGGAGGCAATCACTTCAGCATGTCACGAAGTTCTGGGTCACAAGAAGTACCGTCACAAGGAATGGATCTCTGTTGATACTCTCGCAAAAATTGAAGAAAGGAGGAACAAGAAGGCAGCAATCAGTGTCAGCCGAACAAGAGCAGATAAAGTTAAGGCACAAACTGAATACACAGAAGCAAACAGGAAAGTGAAGAACAGCATCAGAGCCGACAAACGGAAATATGTGGAAGATCTAGCAACGACGGCGGAAAAGGCTGTAAGAGACGGAAATTTGAGACGATTGTATAAAACAACAAATAAGCTCGCTTGAAACCATCTTAAACCGGAACGACCAGTGAAAAGCAAGGAAGGGAAAGTAATCAGCAACACTGAACAACAGCGAAATAGGTGGGTAGAGCACTTTAAGGAACTACTGAATCGACCAGCTCCACTGAACACACCCAACATCGAAGCAGCATCCACGGATCTCCCAATTAACATTGGCCCACCTACGATTGAGGAGATCAGTATGGCCATCAGACAAATCAAGAACGGCAAAGCAGCAGGACCAGACAACATTCCAGCAGAGGCAATGAAAGCAGATGTAGAAGCAACTGCGAAAATATTTCACATCCTCTTCAAGAAGATTTGGGATGAGGAACAAGTACCATCAGATTGGAAAGAAGGATATCTCATCAAAATACCAAAGAAAGGCGACCTCAGCAAGTGTGAGAACTACATAGGCATCACTCTTCTTTCAATACCAGGCAAAGTCTTCAACAGGGTATTGTTAAACAGAACGAAGGACTTCGTAGACGCCCAACTTCGAGATCAACAGGCTGGATTTCGTAAGGATCGATCGTGTACTGACCAAATTGCTACATTACGGATCATTGTGGAACAATCAATTGAATGGAACTCACCACTCTACATCAACTTCATCGACTACGAGAAAGCATTCGATAGCGTGGATAGGAAAACAGTGTGGAGGCTTCTTCGACACTATGGGGTGCCTGAGAAAATAGTTAACATCATACGGAACTCTTATGATGGATTCAACTGAAAAATCGTGCACGGAGGACAGCTAACCGACTCTTTCGAGGTGTGAGGCAAGGTTGCTTACTCTCACCCTTTCTCTTTCTCCTGGTCATCGACTGGATTATGAAAACGTCAACATCTGGAGTGAAGCACGGTATCAACTGGACAGTTAGGACGCAGCTGGACGATCCGGACTTCGCAGATGACTTGGCTCTTTTATCGCACACTCAACAACAAATGCAAGAGCAGACGACCAGTGTAGCAGCAGCCTATGCAGCAGTAGGTCTCAACATACATAAATGAAAAAGCAAAATTCTCTGATGCAACACAACATGCACCAACCAAATCACTCTTGATCGAGATGCTTTCGAGGACGTTAACAACTTTACATATCTGGACAGCATCATCGACAACAAAGGTGGATCCGACGCAGATGTGAGGGCACGGATTAGCAAAGCAAGGGCTGCATTTCTACGATTGAAAAATATCTGGAACTCCAAACAACTTTCAACCAAAACCAAAATCAGCATTTTCAATACAAATGTCAAGACAGTTCTTTCTGCTGTATGGAGCGGAAACTTGGAGAACTACGAAAGCCATCATCCACAAGATACAAGTATTTATGAACAGTTGTCTACGCAAAATACTTCGGATTTGTTGACCAGACACCATCAGTAACAACGTACTGTGGGAGAGAACAAACCAGATTGCAGTGGAGGAGGAAATCAAGAAGAAGTGGTGGAGTTGGTGGATAGGACACACATTACGAAAAGCACCTAACTGCGTCACAAGACAAACCCTCACATGGAACCCTCAAGGCAAAAGGAAAAGAGGAAGGCCAAGGAATACATTACGCCGAGAAATAGAGAAAGATATGAGAGGAATGAACAAACATTGGACAGAACTGGAGAGGGAATCCCAGGGCAGAGTTGGTTGGAGAAAACTGGTGGGCGGCCTATGCTCCATTGGGGGTAACAGGCGTAAGTAAGTAAGTAAGTTGGCTTGCTTTGGCAAGCATCGCTAACAGTCCATATACAGATTTGGTCGGTAGGGTAACCGATTTCATTGATCTCGATGGTGATTGGTTTGCAACATTACTGAGACTCATTGTCATTGGGGTGCTGTATAGAGGCATATCACCATTGCTAATAATAATGAGTTTGACATTCATGTTAAGCGGGATGGGTCGAAATGGCCTGTTCATGCGGTGCATATTGATTGACACGATCATGGATCGGAAATAATCACTATATATATGTACTAGTGTATATAAATGGTGTGAATGGTCCACAAGTGTATCAAGTACCTGTGTGTGGTCGCACCACGAGATTGAGCCGAACAGTTCATATAGAAATGGTAACACATGAGCAGTCTCCTTGATTGTCCTGAAAACCAATGTAAAATTGTCCTTGACAATACAGGGTAAATTTAAATAATAAAAAAATTGATAAAACGTTTTATTTTTGATAACTGAAAAAGATATAGAGCATCATTGTTAATTTTAACGGAGTATTTTGTGTAGATATTGATTACTTTGAGTAATTTCAAACAATTTACATTTTACGCAGAGATTACTTGATCGAATAAATCAAAGCGAATAAATCTTATTCTGTGAATAAGTAGAAAAAAATAGTCTGCAAAACGAGATTCATTTTGATATACCTGTTACGTCTGCATGTAATTATGTCATTGGATATGCCTGAATTATTGAGTTTACCTTAATCAGAAAACGACAGCGAGGATCGAGGATCCTGCGTCCCCACCTCCATTGAGTAAAAGAACAAGACTTGATATAGAGTAGAACCTGTATTCTGCAAAAATCCAGAAAGTACGAGGTCCGAGTCCAGAAGAGAATCAGGATCTCGGACTAGAGATACAGGTCATAAAACGTCACAGATAATGCGTATTTATACATTTTGGTCGAATAGGACACAGCATTGAAGTTTGTGACATTGACAATTAAAATGACTAATAGGAAACAACATTTGAAGTGACACTGACAATCAGTATGACTAATAGGAGTCAACATTGAAGTATGTGACATTGATAGTTAGGACGACCATAATATTGACCAATGGGAATCGACCAATAGAATTTACACTTACAATGTATGGAATATATATCAGTGATGTACATATAATTAACGTATAATGTATGATTTTCAATGTCAAGCTACTTTACTATATATATATGAACTAAGTATGCTTGAACAAGAAAAAATCCTAAAATAGCTAGTGTGGTGTGACGATTTATTGCGTGTTCTTAAGCTCGGTTTATCAATCAGAATATGAACTCGTATTGATGAATACGTTTATTCGGGACACACCACCAAGCGAAGCGATTTGGAGAAGGCAAAGAGCCAACTCCAAAGAGATAGAGTATGACTAAGAATATATGGTCAGACAAGACAAGCGAAATAGGCATGCACACACATGAATAAAAGCGACGAATGATTGACAAGGTCAAATGACAAGCGATACAAATCATGTGAGTTCATGGGAATATTAAGAGATGAACGTTAAAGCGAAAAGGATGAGTAAGCGCGCGTAGGCGTAAGCAATGCTCAGTCATACAAGCTCATACAAACCAGATAATAAAAAATACCAGTGGTACACATATAAATTGTTGCAATACAATTTGGCTTGGTTAAATAAATTAATCGAAAGGGCTTAACCAAGTTAGATGTAAGCGAACTGGAATATATGTGGAGGCACTACACTAGAAAACTATGAAATAAAACTACTGATTGAATGCCTTTGGATACAAAACTCTAGACAGCAGCAGTTTCGGAACCTAAGCATTTTTTATTTTGTTTAAGCGTGAAAATCCCTAGTAGACTGATTATTTGAACTAATATCTTTAGATTCAGTGCCTTTTTTTACGTCAACCTTCGACATAAGCATACACATCCTAATTGTTTTTAAACTAAGTTATTTCTTCTTGATTGATTTCGAACAGAGACTGGTCCGATGGTTAGGCGTTCGCGCGCAATACCGAAGGCCCCAGGTTCGAATCCTGCGAGGTGCACGAGTCGTGGATGCGCACTGCACACTGATGAGTAGTCCCATACCAGGACGAAATGGCCGTCCAGTGGTGCTCCCAGGTTTTGAATGTTGGTCTAACAATCATTTGGTTGACGATTCCAAAGGTGTAAAAACACAAATTTCCAAAGCTCTATCTGAAAATATACCTATCAATTGCATCTGTAGATTAGATAGTGTTGATTCTAATTCGTTCTGTATTGAGAATTCGTTCGCCCGCCTCAAAGAAAACGTTTACCGTACACATAATAACACATGACTAATCTTGTGTAATTGTGAATTCCATTAGCAATAAGATGATAGGGAGTGAAGCAGTCGAGTGTGTTGACCGCTTCATTTATCATGGGAGTTTCACCAGTGCTGATGGCCTGGTGATTGACGAAATCTCAGCACCGATACAGAAGGCTCGATTGGCTTTTGCCAACCTGCGTCAATTATGGCGCAGGTGAGATATCCGTTTGCTAACCAAAGAACGGGTATACTGTGCAGTAGTTCGCTCCGTCTTACTTTATGGCTGTGAAACATGGCCAATGAGAGTAGAAGATATTAGTAGGTTACTGGTTTTCAATCATAGGTGTCTTCGAAGTATTGCTCGTATATCCTGAGACAACCGAGTGAGCAACGCTGTTATTAGGAAATGGGTGCTAGGTAAGAATGGCAGATCAATAGATGAAGTGGTTAAACTTCATCAGTTGAGGTGTTTGGGACATGTGCTGCGTATGCCTAACCACCGACTGCGTCGACAAGCTTTGTTTTGTAGTGTAGGAATAGGTTTACCAAGAGGATGCCTCACACTTGGGTCACATTCACTATTCACTGAATTCATCCTAATAGGTATAGACCCTTCATAAAAGCACACACACGGAACAGTTTACCGGTTGAAAAAAATCCTCCTATCAACAATTTAAGTAGTGAAATATAACACAAAATTCCAAATGTTGACTAGAGTTTATTGTTGTTGTTGATGTTACTCAACAAAAAAACAAAATGATGTAAGCTAGGAAGAAGTGGTCATGAAATTTCCTCATTTCACTAATAACCACCTGTAATCACATGTACAGAAAGCGAATTCAGGCAAATTAATTAAAAATAAATTAAATAAATAAGGCAAACTTTCAAAATTTCACACCACAACAAATAACCAACCAATGAAGGCGAAAAATTCAACCGACGATTTGCACTACTTATATTCTCTATTAAGTAGTTCATTTTTGAAATGCGAAAAAAAACAAGAACGACATTGGACATTTCCAATAGTCCAAATTTAAACAAAAAAAAGAAAATGGGAATGTTTCAAAGAATTAAAACAATTAAACTAAATAATATGGCAAGCAGAAAAAAAGGGAAATAAAATTAAACTAGAAATGAAGTATTTTTTTTCTTTTGAAAAAAACAAACTATAACGTTCAAGGAAAAAAATTTCAAAAATGAAATTATTAATTTAAACAAACTAACAAACAGAATTATTGACTATTGAACTAATCACAAGTGTATTCAGAGAAACAAAAATCATAAATAAATAAAATGAAAATTGAAAGAAAAAATATTTAGCAACAATAATAAATGCATTCTATAATATAGAGAGAGAAAGTCGAGATAGTAAGCGGAGAGACTGACTGAGTGAGTGAGAGACAGAGAGTGTGTGAACAATAGTGTGGCAAAATGTCGGACTGTATAAATTTATGAAGACAATTTTGAAGAAGACGAATGTTTATCATCATCATCATCATCACCGCCAGAGTTAATTGAATTCGCTGATGACAATTTACTACTACTCTGTGCTAATTCATGACGTTTCGCGGCTAATTGTCGTTCTAATTCAGCTAAAGCAGGTGGAAGTAAATCCAAGGCATTAATACCATGACAAAATACACGATTTGGTCGAATTAATAAACCATGACCAGGACGACATGTGAAATAACGTCGACCAGCAACACAACCATCATGACGTCCACATGGTTTACGTAATTCAATGCCTAACCATGTACCTTCAGCAAATGTGATTGGACCAATATATCGAACTATACCTATAAAATAATAAAGAGAAATTTTTACAAATTAGTGTACACAAATTCAATCAGTCAGTTAAAACGTAGAACATTGTACATGAGTACTTCAAGTTCAGGTTGCCATATCCCAACAGCACAGAGATGTAAATGTCAGTTTAAATACAACAGTGGTAGAGATAGTAGAAATATTAGCAGTGATGAAAATATTATTCAAGCAGTATAATTTAGTGCAATAAATTTGAAAAGAGAAAGATAAAGGTGATGAGGAATTCAGAAGATTACAACAATTTGAGAGAACACCTGTGCCACTGTAAACGATCTTGAACCATTTCGTTCAAGGTCTCTAAACCATCGATCACTATCATCTCGCGGAACCCAACTAGGCAACCTACACTTACCGACATGACTCAATCCAGTTGTCAGTGACCTCAGGGATTTATTTGTGTCATGTTTTGGATTGGCCGCCCCTAGCTATCTTCCAACATGTCCCTACACCACAAAACATGGCTCGACAAGACAGTCGGTGGTTAGGTATACATAAAACATGTTCTTTACTACATCTATAGATCTGTCACTCTTAACTAGTACCCGTTTCCTAACTGTTTTGTTTATTTGATAGTCATAAGATAAACAAGCAATGCTTCGGAGACAGCGATGGTCCAAAAACCAGTAACCTATGCAAATCCACTACACCTACTGCCTATATTTCACAGTCTTAAAGAAAGATGGAGAGAACTGCTCCGCAGTACACTCGTCATTTTGTTAGCAAACAGATATCTCACTTACGCCATAAATGACTCAAGTTCTCAAGAACCAGTCGAGCCTTCTATATCCATGCTGAAATTACGTCACACACCAGGCCATCAGCACTGATGAGACTTCGGAGATAAGTGAGGCGATCGACACGCTCACTCCATATCACTAGTTCAGGTGCTGATACAACCAAATCCTAAAGCAACATTTTGCATTTCGACGGGGAAAATTGCATCTCGAACATGCATGCATTGCTGCTTAGGGTAGTCAGAAGACTGCATTTTTTCAGCGTCTTCACCAAATTAAACTATGTCATAGGCATATTCCAAGTCAACGAACGAATCTCCCAGTGAACGTTCAACTCCTGAAAAGCCAGACGATGCAAGTATCGTATCTAAAATCACGTCAATGACAAAGTTCAACAAGAATGGAGAAAGTAGACAGTCCTGACAAATACCACATGAAGTAATCAATTCTAATGACGCATGATATCAGCACAAAGACATCAAACTATCACAGCGAATGACAGAGTAGTGGATATAATAACAGTATAAATGATAATAGAAAGTATCAGTGAACATATAATTGTGCCATCAAGATTAATTGTGGGAGCCCACCAAACACCTCGATAGATAAAAGAATGACGAGAGTCCGCCAAGTTTCCTTACATGACCATTGCCAGGGAAGTCCTATTGACTGGTTTCTTAAGGACGAAAAGCGAATGTCCAAACAAGGCTTAAAAACTGTGTTGATGGTTGTGTAAGAGCTACCTCGAGGAGCTTGAAAACCCTGATTCCAAACTAATAATAGTGCATATGGGCCCGACTATCCTGAGGGAATAAACGCGACCTGAACGTATTGTCATCACAGAACTGCATCTCCTGATATTGCACGATTGCCGAATGGATTAAACCAATAGGTCAAAGGCTGTGCAATCAAATACTACGAACGTCACCTGTTTCAGTTTAGGCAATCAGATAGTAGTATCCTAGCCAGACAACATACATGTTTAGATGCCTTTATTTACAATTATGTCTTTTAATTAATAAATATATTGACACACATCTTTTCACCCGTGTTACTTCAACACGCACAAACACACACACATTATTGAAACCATGAATCGATCGACATTAGAAACCTGGAAGCACTGGACGGCCGTTTCGTCATGGTATGGGACTCATCAGAAGTGCGCAGCCTCGACTCCTGCACCCCGCAGGATTCGAACCAAGGACCTTCGGCTCAGTGGTCTAACGGTTAGGGCGTTCGCACACAATACCGAGGGTCCTGGGTTCGAATCCTGTGCGAGGTGCATGAGTCGTGGATGCGCACTGCTCACTGATGAGTCCCATACCAGGACGAAACGGCCGTCTTTCAGTGCTTCCGAATTTCTAATGGTTGTCTAACCTTGATCGATTCAGGGTTTCAAAAATATGTAACTTAATAATCTTCACAACAACCCCACAACACACACAGCCAACCAACCAAACGAAAAATAACTTACCAATCTCTCCAGCGCATAAAACTTGCATTCCTTCTGTTAAATAAAATACCGGTTCATCAACTGATTCAGTTGGTAGACCACGTCCAACAGCTTTCAATGCATTCACTAATTCAATTGGCAATGGTGGCCGACCAATCACAGCACGTCCAATCATTGGCGACGTTGTACTAGACCATGGTGCACGACGACGTTGACATGACATAGTCGACCTACTAGTATTAGCGGTAGTAGTAGTAGTCGTCATCGTTGTCATTGGTACTCCTCCTCCTCCTCCATCCACCAACTGTTGTGTATCCTGTGATGATGTATTTATCATTGCAGTGGTGGTACTGGCAGTTCTGGCAGTTTTTGCAAATCGATTGTATAATATCAAATTCGATGACATGGATCTAATGGTCGATGGTAATTTTTGTATACGATTAATCGGAGCAAATATACCATGACCAATATTACAATCGAAATAACGTATCCCATTGATTGAACCATTATTTTTACCAACTGGTTGATCTAATTCAATACCATACCATGTACCTGGTGCAAATTGTGTCTCTCCAATAAATCGTAGTATGCCTTTACGTTGACCAGCTACTAAGATACGATCACCAATTTGAAATGAATGAGTTTGTGGCGTAGCATCCTCATTATCATTATCATTAACTGGTGGTGAACGAATTCGTAAGCCTAGCATTAAAATAAGTACATGTTGAAGCAATCAATAAAAACAGATGTTCATGTGAGAAAAGTTTAGAAAGTCAAAACTAGAGGGGTTGAAGAATCAAGAACATTAGGATTTGAGAGAACACAAAGAATAAATGCACCTGCGCCATGGCGAACGATTTTGAGTCATGTCATTCAGGGTATCTAACCATTGATTATTATCATCTCGCCGACCCCAACTAGGTGGTGGACAACTACCGACATGACACAGTCAATGACTTCATGGATCGCTGGCATGTATTGGTCTGGTACACCCCTAACTTTCTTCCAACTTATTCCTACACTACAAAATAACGCTCGCCGAGGCAGTCGGTGGTTAGGCATTCGTAACACATGTCCCAACCACCTCAACTGATGAAGTTTCATTACTTCATCTATTGATCTGCCATTCTTACCTACCACCCGTTTCCTAATAACAGCATTGCTTACTCGGGTGTCCCACAATACACTAGCAATGTTTCGAAGACACCTATGATCGAAAACCAGTAACCTACGAATATCTTCTACTCTCATTGGCCATGTTTCACAGACATATAGGAGAAGGATAGATTCAGGTTTACAGTGAATTGTTGAGCGAACTACTGCACAGTATACTCGTTCTTTGGTTAACAAACGGATATCTCACCTGAGCCATAAGTGACGCAGGTTGGCAAAAGCCATTCGAGCCTTCTGTAGCCGTGCTGAGATTTCGTCAATCACCAGGCCATCAGTATTGATGAGACTCCCCCAGATAAGTGAAGCGGTCAACACACTCGACTACTTCACTTCTTATCATCTTATTGCTAATGGAATTCATAGTTACATAAGATTAGTCATGTGTTATTATGTGTACGGTAAACGTTTTCCTTGAGGCGGGGGGGGAACGAATTCTCAATACAGAATGAATTAGAATCGACACAATCTAATCTACAGACGCAATTAATAGATACATGTAACAGAAGTGTTATCCTGTATTCGTGTTTCACTGTGTCGGTTGTAAGTCACCTGTCGATGACGGTCACACAATATCGTGGACTGATTATAGTATGTTAGGGTATTTATCCAATATACTAAGAGAATTATTGGTCAAACCCTATTGGTCGATTTCTATTGGTCAAAATTATGGTCGTTTTAACTGTCAAAGTCAAATATTTCAATGTTGTCTCTTATTGGTCATTTGGATTGTCAATGTCTCTTCAAATGTTGCTTCCTATTGGTCGTCTTAACTGCCAATGCCACAGACTTCGATGCCGTTTCCTATTCGACCAAAATGTATATAAACGCATTATCTGTAACGTTTGAGGACCACGACCCGGTCCTGGATCCATAGTCCGGGATCCTAATTATCTTCTGGACTCGGACCTCGTACTTTCCGGATTCTTGTAGAATACCTGTTCTACTTCATATCAAGTCTTGTTATTTTCACTCAATATGAGGGTTGGGACAATCGGATTTGAGTAGCATATCCTGTCGCCGGATCCTCGCTCTCGTTTTCCGACTAGGTAAACCGTAATAGTTCACTCATATCAAAATGACGTGTTTATGTGTTAGCGTAACAAATAAGACATTTATACCGTTGTATACCGATTCAGTGGTCAAGAGATTAGACGTTCATGCTTGCGAATGAAGGTTTTGGATGCTGACTGTTGAAAGAGTTCCATACTAGAACGAAACAGCTGTTTAGTGTTTTCAGTGATGGTCTGACAGTGATGTTGTCTAGATGAAAGTTTCACAAATCAAAACCACTCAGTTCAATAACAAAGAAACAGTCCTTTTTTTTGTTATCATATAGTATGCGATCTGAAGAATGCTAAATGCACACATAGAATAAATATGATCGTGCTATTGTTGTTCAGAGTGAACATACAGTTGAAGTGCTTGTTAAGATATTCATCCAATATCCTAAGAGAATTATTGGTCGATTCCTATTGGTTAATTTCTACTGGTCAATTTTATGGTCGTTCTAGATATCAATGTCACGCGCTCCAATGTTGCTTCCTATTGGTCGTTTTAACTGTCAATGTCACAGAAGTCGATGCTGTTTCCTATTCGACCAAAATGTATAAATAAGCATTATCTGTAACATTCTATGACCACGACCAGGGCTCGGACCCGGATCCCTTGTCCGGGATCCTGATTCTCTTCTGGATTCGGACCTCGTGCTTTCTGGATGCTTGTAGAATACAGGTTCTACTTCTTATTTCTACTAAATATATGGGTTGGGATAATCGCATTAGAGTAGCATGTCGTGTCACCGGATCCTCGATCCTCGCGCTCTCGCGTTTTCCGACCAAAGGTAAACTTGTAATAATAGTTCAAGTTTATCAAGTTGACTTGTTTACACATGAAGGCGTTAACATCTTCTCATATGGAAAATATTAGCTTCTTATTTGCATAAATGAGTCATTGTTACAATACAGTAAAATATATTTGGGTGTATGCGATAATAAATACCGATCAACCGCCAATCTTATGATGATGATTTCACAAACAGACTTACAATTGACAACTGTAAAAAAAACAAAATATTCTCACACCAAACCCAACATAAAATATTCATATGATTAGATTCAGCGTTTATGACATGAAGTAAAAAGATAAGTAAGAGTTTACATAAAAAAATAGGTGGGTCTCTTATACTACTACTATTACTATTACTACTGATTAACTAACTAACTCAGCAACTTGTCAAAGAAACTGTTTTCATTCATTCGTTTACTAAAAAAACGAAGTAAAATGAAATTTTTTATTAGAAACTTTGAGGAGAGCGCATTTTTAATTCGCGGGAAAAATTCTAGAACACAGTTAAGTCAGCCAGTCAGTTGCAACGTAGAACTTCGTACGTATGTACATAAGTACATGTCACCATACCACATTAGCACAGAGACGCAAATGTCAAATCAAATTCCATACTGATAAAGATAGTAGAGGGATTAATGGTAATGAAGAAGACTAGGGTTCAAAGATATTATTCAAGAAGTATAATTCAGTGAGATAAGGTTAGAAAGACAAAGGTAGGGGTGCTGACGAATCCAGAAGATTACGATTTGAGAGAGCTCAACGAATGGATGCACTTGCACCATTGCAAACGATTCCGAGCCATGTCGTTCAAGGTCTCTAACCATTGGTGACTTTCGTCTCGCGGACCCCAACCAGGTAGTCTACATCTACCAACATGACTCAGTTCACTTGTCAGTATCAGTTTCACTACTTCATCTATTGATCTGCCATCCTTACCTAGTACGCGTTTCCTAACGACAGCATTGCTTACTCGGTTGTACCACGGTATACGAGCAATGCTTCTTAAACATCTATGATCGAATACTAGTAACATACGAACATCTTCTACTCTTAACGGCCATGTTTCACAGCCATATAGGAGAACGGAGAGAACTGCTGCACAGTACACTCGTCCTTTAGTTAGCGAACGGATATCACGCCTAAGCCATAAATGACACAGGTTGGCGAAAGCCAATCGAGCTTTCTGTATCCGAGCTGAGATTTCGTCAGTCACCAGGCTATCAGCACTGATGAGACTCCCTAGATAAGTGAAGTGATCAATACGCTCAACTACTTCATTCAGGTACCGATGCAACTTAGTCTTGAAGCAACATTTTTACGTTTCGAGGGGGGGGGAGGAAACCGCATCCCGAACATGCTCGCATTATTGCTTATGGTAGTCAGAAGACTCTGCCTTTTGTCAGCGTCTTCACCGAATAAAACTATGTCATTGGCATATTCTAGATCAGTAAGCGACTTTCCTGGTAGAAGGTCAAGACCACAGTTAAAACAACCGCCCAAAAGAAAACAAGTCGAATAATTTAAAGTCTATGAAAAACTTCCATTATAGTGTAATGGAGAATGTTTTTTTTTAATTGAAATCAGGAATCAATTATTGTTAGACTACCATTAGAAATTTGGAAGCACTAGACAGGCATTTCGTCCAGGTATGAATCTCGTCAGCAGTGAGCTTTCACGACTCTTACTACTCACAAAATTCCAATACAGGACCTTCGGTCTTGTGCGCTAACGCTTAAACACTGAACGACTGAGCTTGCATCCATCGGCGTTAAAGTTTAACTCTGATCAATCTAGGGATTTTGCGCGTTACCCATTGTCTTCGGTAGTTATACTGCTTACATCGAATAGGGTTGAATTCCACTAGTAACGGCTTTCCACTAGAACTCTGATATTTTCCTCACGAAGCTAGTCACTAGTGAGCACACTGAACGATTTTTCCGAATTAGAGTTATGGAGATTCGTGTTTGTACACATTGAAATCATCAATCAATAAATGGTAAACCACCATTAGAAAACTGGAAGCACTGAAAAAGGGTCGTTTCGTACTAATATGGGACTGATCAGCAGTGCGCATCTATGACTGTTGCTAATTGCAGGAATCGAACGCAGGACCTAAGGTCTTGTGCGTTAACATTAGACCACTGAGCTGGCATTCAGCGGTATCAATATCTAGCGCTGTTAAATCTAAGGTTTTGAGCAACCTCACCAATAATCTTCGGTTGATAGCTACTTACACAGGACAGGGATTGAACTTGTCATTAGTGAGCGCATTTCAAGATTTTTCATTACAAAGAAAACATTTGAGAAATCTCTGGGAAACAGACCAATTATACTATCCTTATTGTAACTGGAAAATCATTGAATATAGCTTAATAAATGTTAACATATTTTCAGCCGGTGCTTTTGTGTTCCATAGTGCTATTTTTTCTACAGAATCTAACCTTTGAAATAAATCTTTATCTGCACACTTTCAACCTGGTTGTTTATTTTTGTCCTAATGGAAGAAGACATTTAGTACCGTTGTCTAAGCTTTGAATCCCAAAAGAATGTATAAAATAAGTGAATCAGTATGGTAGGAAGATTATTGCACGATGGAAAAAATTAAGTCAAAACACTAATAGGTAATGATGGCATATATATATATGTATATATATTACGGAGTTGTGAAGATTGTTAAGTTACGCATTTGAAATTATGAATCGATCAATGTTAGACCACTTGCATTAGAAACCTGGAAGCACTGAAAGACGGCCGTTTCGTCCTGGTAAGGGACTAGCTCATCAGCAGTGCTCATCCATGACTCTTGCACCTCGCAGGATTCGAACACCAGGACCTTCGGTCTTGCGCTCGAACGCTTAATTTCTGGACCACTGAGACCACATCTTATGGTGTTAATATGTCTAACTTCAACCAATTCACGGAGTTGTGCGACCTCATTCACTGTCTTCAATAGTAGTTACTGTCTACACTCGAAAACAGGTTGAACTTCACTGGTCAATGACTTTCCACCACTAGAACTCGGAGAAAATTCCTCACGGAGCTAGTCACTCACTAGTGAGCACAAATGTAAATATATACCTATTTATATATATATGTACATATTAACAGGATTTTAAGGCATAGATTCTTTACAAATAAAATAAAGCAAAGCAAATATTTGCATATCGATTACATAATTCAATGACGTAACTGGCACAAGATGATTTTAAGATAATCAACCACGGAAACATGAGAATTTACTAATAATAACTGCCAATAATAATAATAATAACAATAATAATTAATAATAATAATAAATATCCAACCGATTACAACAAGTTACCAAATGATTAATTTTTTATAAATATAATTGAACATTGCAAAACCAAGTTTATAATTTAAAGTAAAATTTAAAAAAAAACGAAATCGAATTAGTTAATCTATGGAATCAATTCAATGTTCAATAAAGAAGGATGATACACATTTTTTGAAACCATGAATCGATCAATGTTAGACCACTTGCATTAGAAACCTGGAAGCACTGAAAGAGGGCCATTTCGTCCTGGTATGTTGGGACTCATCAGTGTGCAGTGCGCATCCATCGGTTAGGGCGTTCGCGCACAATACCGAAGGTCCTAGGTTCAAATCCTGGCGGGTGCAGGAGTCGTGGATGCGAACTGCTGAGGAGTCCCCATACCAGAACGAAAAACAGCCGTCTTTCAGTGCTTCCAGGTTTGTCTAATGCAAGTGGTCTAACATTGATCGTTTCATGGTTTCAAAAAATGTGCAACTTAACAATCTTCACAACCCCGCAATGCATATAATGGATACGACAAAACATATATTTACCCGATTTTGCTGAATAAACAAAACCGAGTGAAAAAGAAAGGCCAAAATGATCCAATATATACATACATACACATTGCACAACGCTCTTCTTAACTCAGTCAAATGCAACGTGGAACTTCGTACGTAAGTACATCAAGTTCATGTCGCCATACCACATCAGCACAGAGATATAATTGTCAATTCAAATCCAATAGTAGAAGAGGTAGTAAAAGTATTAGCGGTAGTCGGAGAGGTTTAGGATTAGAAAATATTATTCAAGAAGTATGTGATTCAGTGAGAAAAGTTTAGAAAGTCAAAACTACAAGTGTTGAAGAATCCAGAAGATTAGGATTTGAGAGAACACAGAGAATAAATACACCTGCGCCATTGCAAACAGTTTTGAGTCATGTCACTCAAGGTCTCTAACTATCCATTATTATCATCTCGCGGACCCCAACCAGGTAGTCGACACCTACCAACATGACTTAGTCCACTTGTCAATGACTTCATGGATTTCTGCCATGTTTTGGTCTGGCCGCCCCTAGCTTTCTTCCAACCTACTATTCCTACACTACAAAACAAAGCTCGTTGAGGCAGTCAGTGGTTAGGCATACGCAACACACATGTCCCAACCACCTCAACGGATGTAGTTTCAGCACTTCATCTATTGATCTGCTCTTCTTAACTATTGCACATTGAACTGCACTGTTCCTGTCATAATTCAAAATATGCCAGTGACATAGTTCTGTTTAGGGAAGACTTTGACAAAATGCAGAGTCTTCTGATCACGTTGTGAAACAATGCAAGCATGTTTAGGATGCAGTTCTCTCTCGACTAGCTTTTTCCAACTTGTATTACCCTAATGGAGTAGGCGAGATATCCGTCTACCAAACAAGGCGCTAGATTAGTGCACAGCAGCTAGCTACGTCCTACAATACAAGTTTGAAAAATCGTTTAACGCCTGCACGTAAACACGTTAACTTGGTATACTTGAACTATTATTACGAGTTTGCCGTAGTCGGAAAACGAGAGCGAGGATCGAGCATCCGGTGACACGATATGCTACTCTGATCCGATTGTCTCAACCCCCATAATGAGTAAAAATAACAAGACTTGATATGAAGTAGAACACGTATTCTACAAGCATCCAGAAAGTACGAGATCCGAGTCCAGAAGAGAATCAGGATACCGGACTAGGGATCCGGGACCGGGTCCTGGTCCTAGTCATGAAACGTTACACATTATGCATATTTATACATTTAGGTTGAATAGGAAACATCGTCGAAGTCAATGACAAAGTCAGTTAAGACGACCAATAAGAAACAACATTTGAAGTGACATTGAAATTCAGGATGACCAATAAGAAACAACATTGGAGCACGTGACACTGATAGCTAAGACGATCATAAAATTGACCAGTAGAAATTAACCAATAGGAATCGGCCTATAATTCTTCCAGGATATTGGATGAATATCCTAACACACATCGCCACTAAGAAAAGAATTTATCCTTGAATTACTAGTATACACGATCACAAGTGTCTTCGAAGCATTTTACTCGTATATCCTCGGACCATCGATTAAGCAATGCTAGTGTGTGTTTGAAAAAGTACTACTCTATGCGAGGACATAACATACACATATACACACAGATCATAATTCACAGAGAATTCATTCATTCAACTTACCAGTATCAATTTTCGGTGTTACATGTGAAAAATCACCTGTTGCCGCCGGTGGTGTAGGCGTACGACTTAATTGTGATGATGATGATGATTTCACAGTTGTTGTTGTTGTTACTACTGGACCACTTGATCCGGCGGCGGCTGGTGCTGTTGTACCACCGGTCGATGAATTGATTGCATAACTTGATCGTGATGAAGGGATACGTTTCTTTGGTGTTTTATTCAAATCCGTTATACTACTGTTACAACTACCACTACTACTACTATTAGTACCACTGTGATCTTCTTTCTTTCTTAAATTAGTCGATGCATTCATGGAACGTTTTGTATGAGTCGTACTACTAGTAGTAGTAGTAGTAGCAGTAGCAGTAGTAGTATGAGTAGATAGACTGATTGGATGCCAATTTTGTTGACCATTCATATTTACAGTTTTGTAGACTCGACCAATTGGTGCAAATATACCATGTTGATTTGGACAAGAGAAATATTGAATCTGTACGAGTGTGTGTGTGGGTGTGTAAATGGGATTTTTTGAAGAGTAAAAAAACACAAATATATATATATATATATATATATATATATATATATATATGTATAAATGCATAAATTAAGGGGATAATATATAATTTGGTTAACTGAAACTCTTTGAATGATAGTAAACATTTGAAAGGTGTTAGGTTCGGTTCCCGACCATAGAGCTACAGGCGTATGCTACTGTGGAGTTACATATCCGAATGAAACGCCTATTCCGTGCTCCTAGTGTAGTGAAGGAGAACAAAGGTGAGGGCAATCGTATTGTATTTTTCTCAAATTACAGAGTTAATTGATAAAATAGGAAAATCATATCGTAAATCGTTAATTTGCAAAATATCAATCCATCATATCGAACTGCACTGTTCCTGTTGCAAACATCAATCCATTGACAGACATTTCACTGTTCATGCGTTCCATAAAAATCCCATTGTGTCCCTGCCCCTCCTTTCTTGATCTTCCTCCATCTTCTGCTGCCAGACATTACTTTTATACTCGCGTCACACACTACTTATAAGTAGCGCGCACCATACTCGTTCCCCTCTTTAATAAGCTGTCGTCGTAGTCTTTCTGATCGCCGTACCGCTGTCTTTTTTGTTGCTTTCCATGACTCACACACTTGATAATCTCGAAACCACCTCTGCAGTTGACTGGCATTTACACGCTTCTGCATGTCTTCTCTACGGATCGTGTCTCTCAGTGATAACGTACGGTCCGACCCACTTTAGGATCAGCTTTCCCCACCCCGATCGCCCTGCTATGCTACTTTTTCGTTCTCTACACTTTACTAGGTCCCCCACTGCGAAAGGTTTCCACGTTCTTCTCTGTTGTTCCGCCTTCTATATATCTGATATTTGTTTCTTTCCCACGTTCCTGATTACCTCCCTCTTCTCTTTTCTTAACCTTGTTGTTGTCCATTTCTGTTTCTGTGGCCAGGTCTTATTGTACAGTGGAAGTCGCGGTTGTCTGCCATAGATGAGCGCGAAGGGTGATTTCTTGGTTGTTCCTTGTATGGAGGAACGATACGCCAACAAAATCAGTGGTAACTCTTTCTCCCAATCTCCTCCTTTAGATGCTAACCATTCCTTTAAAGTCCGGTTGTTTCTCTCTGTAAGCCCGTTTGCCTGAGGATGATACGGTGTAGTTCGTATTCTCTTGATGCCAAACTGTTTTAGACAGTCTTTAAACTCGTCACTTTCAAAACAGGGACCCTGGTCCGTTAATATCATTTTCGGTATTCCGTGGCACGCTACAATGTGCCGGATCACCACTTCGGTCACTGTTCTTGCCCGCTGGTCTGCAATGGGTACGGCATCTATTCAGCGTGTAGCATGCTCCGTCATCACTAGCAGGTACCGGTTACCGGTCGCCGTCTGTTTAAACGGTCCCATTATACTAGGTTTTTAATGGTTGTCTGACATAGATTAGTTGGCATTCACAATAAAATTTAGACATTTCCGGAAATGTCTACCTATATAGATCGATAGCAGTGATAAGTAGACGTGAAAAGATGGTTACGTCGTATATAAACAACCATCATAATGGTAACATTAGCGGCTTGAGGAGAAAAGAGAGGGTTATTAGGAGGTGTAGGAAGGATTTGATTGTGACCGGATTGATCACATGTGTTGTTACAGATATGGGGATGGATGTCACTTACTGACTCCACACACCATGGAAGCGTGTTTATTCAGGGACCTAAAAAGGATGCTGGATTAGCGTTGGTCTTAGATACCTGGGAGCGTGACCACAGAGCCCAATGAACAACTGCTTTAGGCCAGTCAAACACGGCCTTTTTATGAGAGGGAAGTTAACAAGTTAGCTCCGCTGTTCAAATGACCTTACCGTCAGAGACGGAAATCCGTGGTGTGGTTAGGTGCAACATTTTTAGGGTCGACCTTCTCTAATCCCTTTTATCCTTGTGAGAAAGCAGCATCACTGAGGATGCTGGTTGTACGAGGGAAATACCTTACTGTTGTGACACTCCTCTAAAGTCAGTAGTACAAAATGTGATTAGTGAATCGAGTTTGAACGAGCAGGCGACTCTATCTATTAAATATGTGATTTTCTTCCTTGTTATAAACTTCTAATCCGAACACAATGAGAGTGACTGTTTATAGTTGTATGAACTAAAAGTATTTGCATGAAACGGTTGTGGAGATTGTCAAGTTACTTCCTTAAAATCATAATTTAATCAATGTTGGACCATCATTAGAGACCTGGAAATACAGCACAGACGTCTCGTCTTGGTATGGGACTCATCAGCAGTGCGTATCTACGACACCAACAAACCGCAGGACTCGAACCTAGGACCTATCTGTTTTCAGTAGCAATACATTCTATGCTTATTCCATTATTCTGTTCAATTCAATATTTGCTTAAATTGATAACTTTAATCATGAAATAACATTGAACAGAGTTGGTCACACACACATGTGTACACTTATCAATACATTTTGTATGAAGCTTCATAAATAGTCAATAGTTCGCATAGACACCATAAGGTGATCATTGTAAATGAAGGAGAGAGAGAGAGAAAAAATTAACATAATCATAGAAAGGATAAGAAAGGTTAGAAAAATTGTCACATCCTATTTGCATTTATCAATTTACATGTTTATATGGACACACTATACATAGGGAGAGGTGTGATCGGACATTGTAATCAAGGATCATAGATGGAACATGTACACCTACGTAGCATTGAAATCTGTCAACTTCAGTTGGCTTCAGCTGACTTAATAGTTCCCAGCTGATTCCTATTGCTTAATATTCTATGACCACACAAAATACTCTGGACAAGTTCCAAAGAATCAGAACATGGTGGAACAGGAATAGAAAATATATTCCTAATAGCAAGGTTAAATGGAAATAAGAAGCCGAAGCGGGGCGAAGGCAAAATGGACACAACGTTAGTACCTATATAGTTTTTACATGAGAAGCTTCTGGAATGTAATCCACGTGATTGACTAGCACTGACCGGATTAGATTTAGCCAATCAGCATGCAGCCCGGAGCTGATTGGTTAAGAAATGAGCCAATCAGCGCGCAGCTAACGCAGTCATGCTTACATTCATCTATATCCCACTAACACCCAATAAACGTGGAGAACAGAAAACCCTGTTCATTGATAGGAAAACACATAATTGAAACGGGTCATAAAGGTTGACAACAAACAAGACAGCTTTCAAAACACTGTACACTTCATATAAAATGCCTTGACAAGTATGTCTGTGTGACCAGAATATTCGAAATATGCATAGCACGTAAATACATCACAACAATTTTTCAGATCAACTACATTAGTTCTCATTAGTTTTATCAAAATTTATTAAAAGGGACTAATTGTTATGAATATAAAATGAAAATATTTAATTGACACACTCACCCCAGCTACACTTCCATTATTTCTACCTACAGGTTCATCTAACTCCACACCAACCCATATACCCGATGCAAATGACACTGATCCACAATAACGTAGTTTCCCAATTCGACCAGAAATACCTGTTGTTGTTGTCGTTGGAGGTGGCGGCGGCACTGTCTGACGATTCTCACCGCTAGTCGGTACTGCTGTTGTGGCTGTTGTGGATGATGGTGTTGAATTGCCTGGTGCAATACACACACGATCACCTAATGCTAAACCCATAGATTGTAAGGTGACTTTTGCTGAAATTGTAAATTTCTTTAATTGTGTCGGTGTAGGAGGTGGACTGATCAGGCCATTGGTATTTTTTGATGTTTGTTGCACATTATTAGTTGGTGGACGTTTGGTACGAGGCGATAAGAAACCGGATTCAGCTGTGTATACATATATATATGTGTGTGTGGGTGTGTGTACGCGAGCATGTATGTGCATCACGATGAATGATGATACATTGATGTAGATGGGGGAAAAAAATAAGACATCAATCAGTCAGAATAGAAATAATAACATTTAAATTCAAGAGTTTATTGAGAAAAAGCAAAGGACTATGGATTACTTTGAACAGAAATTACTGACAATAGAATCTAACTGACATACGTTAGGATAATTACTTAGGTAATAGTCAGTCAGTTACAACGCAGAACTTCGTCCGTAAGTACATCAGTCCAAGTGTGGTGCGCGCTACTTATAAGTAGTATACGACGCGATTAAAAACATAATGTCTGGTAGCAGAAGATGCGGGAAGATCAAGAGAAAGGAAGAGTGGGGGGAACACAATGGGATTTGTGTATGAAACGCATGAACAGTGAAACGTCAGACAATGGATTGATGTTGTTTGCAACAGGAACAGTCCAGTTCGATATGATGGATTGATATTTTGCAAATTAACTATTAACGTTATGGTTTTTTCTATTTGACAAATTAACTTTGTCAATTTGAGATAAATACAATTCGGTTGCCCTCACCTGTGCTCTCCTTCACTACACAAGTTGTCATACCACATTGGCATAGAGATGCAATAGTCAGTTCAAACCTCATAGTGGTAGAGATAGTAGAAGTATTCAAGGTTATAGAGAAGATTAGGGGTCGAAGACATTATTCGAGAAGTATAATTCAGTGAGATAACTTAAGCGAGAGAAAGATAGGGATGATGAGGAAATCAGGAGGTTAGAATTCGAGAGAACACAATGAATAAATGTACCTGTGCAACTGCAAACGATTTTGAGCCATACCGTTCAAGGTCTCTAACAATCGTTGACTTTCGTCTCGCGGACCCCAAACAGCTAGCCTACATCTACCGACAAGACTCAATCCAGTTGTCTGTGACTTCATGGATTTCCACCATGTTTTGATCTGGCTTAGGAAATAATCTAGTACAGGATAGTGGCTGTTTTATTCTACTTTCTGACTCCTAAATTGAACTGCAGTGTGTCAATAAACCTTTGTTTAACAAACACCTAGATTTGATGATAGCATACAAGCGCCGCTCTCAGAGAACTGGGAAGATGACTGGAGAATCCAAACAGACAACTGTTTCAGGTTCGTCACGTACGGCCACATTTTTTATGGGACATTTTCAACGTGTTAGCTTCACACTTAAAAAAATCTTACTGTCGCAGACGAAAATCTGTGGGAAAAGGCTGAGATGTGACAATTTTACAGTCAACCTTTTCTAACCTCTTCCTTCCGTTATAATACAGCCCAATACAGGTTAGTCGCTGTTTTATTCTAGTTTCTGACTACTGAAATGCGCTGCAGTGTGTCGAAAATACTTTTGTTTTACAAATATCTAAGTTTGATAGTAGAATACAAACCAATCTGAAATACAAGTGTCTATATTCATGAGCCTTTTTGAGTTGATCGAAGTCAAGAATAAGGGTGACGTTCCAACTAATTTATCTGCTCTCTGTCGTCTGCGCTTTTCACTTTATTAGTTCGTAGGTTGGTGGTAGGATAGATTGTTTCTCACTCTCTGACCTTAGGGTCGTCCAGTCAAAATCGATCACAAAGTCACTTCAAGGTCATAAACTAGATCTGTTGCAACTAATGGATGAGGCAGGAGAGATCAAGAACGTAACAGAGTAGTATGGATGGCGAAGCAGCAGAGGTGATAAGTCATATGTATGTTTCCCCGATTTTATTATGGTTTTCTGATAGGACGACGGGTAACGTTATTAAAAATTGCTTTTTTTCCTTATTGTGATATATATTGTACTTCAGATGAATAAGCGACTACCAATTAATTTTTTTCTAAAATCCAAGAACTGCCTTCTGTTCTACGTTTTCACTATTGGGATAAGATATTACGGTTGAAATGCCATTATTACATAGTAGGGGGTTAACCAATCAACTAACAAATAAACGAGAATTTGAGAAAAGGTAGGGACAATGCGTTTCACATTGAATCGATTAGAAAAAGTAGTATACTGTGGAATATAAGCAGTTCTGTCCAATTTCTGTTCATTCCTCTCATGTCTTTCTCTATTTCTCGGCGTAATGTGTTCCTCGGCCTTCCTCTTTTCCTTTTGCCTTGAGGGTTCCATGTGAGGGCTTGTCTTGTGACCCAGTTAGGTGCTTTTCGTAATGCATGTCCTATCCACTTACACAGCTTCTTCCTGATTTCCTCCTCCACTGCAATCTGGTTTGTTCTCTCCCATACGTACGTGTACTAAAGTACGTAAAGTAGTACTGTAGTGAAGGAGAACACACGTGAGGACAATCGAATTGTATTTATCTCAAATTATAGAGTTAATTGTTAAAATAGGAAAACTATATCGTAAACGGTTAATTTACAAATCTTCAGTCCATCATCAATCCATTGTCTGACATTTCACTGTTCATGCTATTTCATACAAATTCGATTGTGTTTCCGCTCTTCCTTTCTTGATCTTCCCCCATCTTCTGCTGCCAGACATTACGTTTACACTCGCGTCATATACTACTTATAAGTAGCGCGCATCACAGTACTATTGTGCTGTTAAATGTGTGAGATAATTGAAGTATTCTTCATTCTTCAACAACAAAATAATCTTCACTAAATGGATTGTGAAGATTGTTGAGTTTCATTGAAATTCATGCATCAATCAATGTTAAAACAACATTATTGAGGAAGCTGGAAGCACTGGATGGCCGTTTCGTTCTAATAATGGACTCATCAGTGGCTGGCTGACGGCAAGCTAACCCAGGACGTTCGGTCTTGTGCACGAACGCCTAACCTCTTGACTACTGAGCCGGTGGCACTAAACGATGTAAATGTCCGATTTCAATCAATCCATGACGTAATTGCACAACTTTGTCCATCATCTTCTGTGTGTAGGTGTGCATCATAACCGAAGATGGTTAAACTCCACTGGTCATTAGAACTCGGAGAAACAACTACACACAGAGCTGGTTACTAGTATGTGCATCATATTAGGACGAAACGGCAGTCTAGTGTTTTCAGACTTTTAAAAGTGATCTAACATTGATCGCTTACTTCATGATTACAACAAAATAATCATATAGATTGTTAACTCATGAAGTAATAATGTTATCAAGTTTCTACAACATATAATTTTTTTCAAAACCTAAAATCTAAGTGGATAAATATCATATAAAAATTTCATCAGATTGATTCATATCTAGATTACTTATCGAATTTGAGCATAGTTTTTGAAAAGAAAAAAAATGACACAAACAATGACTGATTTATGATTTCAGTACTCAACAATAGTCTTCATAACTTGACTTGAAAAATCCTAAAATGTACTCATCACTAAAGACTAGCTTCTTGAGCAAATTCTCGGAGTCCTACAGAGAAGTCGTGATCAATGAAGTTCAACCATGGTCGAGTGACATACAGATAGATACACATGATGGATGAAGTTGTACAATAACGTCGTGGATTGATTGCAACCGGACAATTTACATCGTTCACATGCAACACCGGAGGTCCTATGTTCGATTCCGCAGTGTTTCTGAGTCCTGAGCTCCACCATACACTACTAAGACGAAACAGATGTCTTTCAGTGCTACTAGGTTTCTAATAATCGGTCGATTCATGTAAAATCTACTTACTATTGGAAATCGCCCTCATTCATCACACTGGCATCAAGGAGATAAAGAGATAGGTAGGTAGAGAGAGAGAGAGTGAGGGAGTTAGGGAGTGGAACACTAATCTCATTCAGACAATACACAAATAAATAAGTAGTATATGGGGTAAAAAAAAAAGGAAATGTAAAATAGGAATTTTCAAATTGCCATCATAACCCTTTATAACAAGGGAGACAACAAAATTCTAGTCGGAATAACAATTGTATACAAACAAATAATCCAATAATAACAATAGTAATAATGGGCGGTGATCAACTCTTGTTCAGGAAACAGAATTAATTCAATGAATTATGAAACAGTTTAGATTTAGATTAAAAAAAAAACAAAAATCAAGCACAGCGCTGTTATTGTTATTATTGAACAATGAATTAATTGACACATTTAAACAAAAAATATACAAAGAGAAAGAGAGAGAGAGAGAGAAGAAAACGAGAATGATAATAATATGGAAATATCATTTAAGATTAGAAATTATTTATTGGAAAAGTGTTTTAAACTAGGAAATCACAACAGTAACAAGAGGTGATAGACTATAATTTTGGTAATAAGATCCAGGTTTCATGCTTTATCACAAATAGAATTTTTGTTAAACCCGTTGAATAAGTTGGTGGTTATTTGCTGGAGACGTTAGATCCCCGGATCTCAATTGGAAAAGGGTCTAATTTCGGATTTTTTGTGTTTTCGCGCATAAGCTACCCAGTTGACCTTGAGATTACAGTTCCCTACCGTAAGATTGTTCGGGATGTAAGATCCCCAAAACTCGCTTGATATGCCTTATATTGGGTTTCACGTTTGCGAGCATGGGCTGATCAGTTGACCTTGAAATTTCATTTCCTACCAGGAAAATCCATGGCTGTGATTGGCTGCTGTGTATTTTAAGGTGCTATTTACTTAACTGTCCCAAGGACGTTTCTGTGATGTATATATAATAGAGAATTGTGTGCTTGATGGTATTGTGTGATTGCTGGGTGTTTTGTAGAATATACATTCTACGCTTACAATGCCTTCTGTCTTCAGCTTGGGATTCAAGGTAGCCCATCTGGACGCTGGTTCATTGTCTCGTTCACGTTTATCGACGAAGGTAAACTCGTAATAGCGTCAACCATACTTAGTGACGAACATAACAACAATCCTTCACTTTATTAGTTGATGGATTATTTTAGTACGCTATCTTCGTGGCTCTCCCAAGGACGTTTCTATCATGTATAAATAAGCTCGATTTGTGTACTAATCAACCTCGTATTTCTGGGTGCTTGTAGAATACACAATTTCTAAGCCTTATCTGCTTGATATAATTCGTCGGGCCGAGGACAATCAAATCAGAATAGCCTATAGTGTCACTGTATCATTGATTGGCTCTTGTTTACTGAGTACAGTGAACTCGTTATAGTTTCAAGCATATCAATTGGCGACGGGGATGGAATTCGAACCCACGCGGGGATTTATGTTTCGTCATATAGAGAATTTTTGTTAAACCCCTTGAACGAGTTAGTAGTTATTTGAATTCTGTAGTTCAGTAAGATATAAACTGGATTAAAGCATGTCTGACTAATTTGTTTTCGTATGCTGTTACGAGTATCCATTTGCTAACTAACTAAAGGACGAGTGTAGTGTACAGCAGTTCGCTCCATCCTACTATAACAGTGTGAAACATGGCCGGTAAAAGTAGAGGATATCTGTAAGTTGCTAATTTTTGATCATAGGTAAGTGATGATGGTTTTAGGATGCAGGTACTAGGTAAGGATGACAGATTAATATACGAGGTAGTGAAACTTGGTCAATTGCGGTGGTTAGGAAATGTCAGACGTGCACCCAACTACCGACTACCTCGATGAGCGATGTTGTTCGATGTAGGCTACGTTGGAAGGAAGCTAAAGGCAGTCAAACCGAAATATGGCACAAATCCATGAAGTCATTAAAAACTGGATTGAGTCATGTTAGTAAGTGTAGACCACCTAGCTGGGATCCGCAAGATAATCGTAACTGGTGATTAGGAACCTCGAATGACATGGCTCAAAACTGTTTGCAATGGGGCAAGTGCATCCATTCTTTCTCTTTACTTAAATTCTTATCTTCTGAATTTCTCAAAACCTTTAACGTTCTCTTTTTTTATTTGATTCCTCTGGCACATACTTCATGAATGATATATTAGATCACTAATCTTTTAGATTACCGCTAATACTTTTACTAACTCTACTACTATGAGATTTGAATGAATAGTTCGATGTGTGTGTGTGTGTGCTAATCTGATGTGGCAACTTGAACTGACATGTAGGTGCGTACGAAATTTTAGGTTGTTGCTGACTGACTGAATGACTGTTAGCAAACCCAGTACAGGATTATGTTGGAGCAAGCTGATTAGTAAACCTACTGTGGGAGAGAACAAACCAGGTTCCAGTTGACAAGGAAATTAGGCAAAAAACACACTACAGATTGATTGTAACGGAAATCACCCAACTGCATCATGAGGTAAGTCCTAACTTGAAACCCTCAAAGCCAAAAGAAAACAGGGAGACTAAAGAACCCAAAACGCCGTGAATTGGAAGCAGACATAAAAACTAAAGAACGACAATTGGGTAGAACTTAAAAGGGAGGTCCACAACAAAGTTGGTTGGAGGATGCTGGTTGGCAGCCTATGCTCCATGATTATAGGTAACACGGATAAGCCTGTAGTTCATTCTTAGATAATCAGAGCCAGTGAATAGTTGAAGATGAAGACTCGTGTCCAGCAAGGAGGGGCCTAGTTCAGCGTTTGTAAAGTGTTAACAGAATACTAAGTAATAAGCATAATCTGGGTTGTATTAGTTAGGCACAATGTGTATTTCTCACTACATCCACATGAAATCCAATACAATTAAATTCCAAAACCAACTATATCGAGGAAACTATATCTTATGATGGATTCAACTGCAAAATCGTACACGCGAAGGACAGCTAACAAACTCTTTCGAGGTGAAGACCGGTGTCAGGCAAGGTTGCTTACTCTCATCCTTTCTCTTTCTACTGGTCATCGACTGGATTATGAAGACGTTGACATCTGGAGGGAAGCACGGTATACAATGGACAGCAAGAATGCAGATGGATGATCTGAACTTCACAGATTACCTGGCTCTTCTATCGCACACGCAACAACAAATGCAGGAGAAGACGACCAGTGTAGCAGCAGCCGAAGCAGCAGTAGGTCTCAACATACTACAAAAAGGAAAAAGCAAAATTCTCCGATGCAACACAACATGCACCAACCAAATCACTCTTGATGGAGATGCCTTGGAGGACGTTAACACCTTTACATATCTGGGCAGCATCATCGACAATCAAGGTGGATCCGATGCAGATATGAGCAGCAAAGCGAGGGTTGCATTTCTACAGTTGAAAAATATCTGGAACTCCAAACAACTTTTGAACCAAAACCAAAATCAGGATTTTCAATACAAATGTCAAGACAGTTCTATTGTATAGAGCGGAAACTTGGAAAACTGTACTACGAAAGGCATCATCCAGAAGATACAACTGTTTATTAACAGTTGTCTACGCAAATTACTTCGGATTCGTTGGCCAGACACCATCAGCAACAACGATCTGTGGGAGAGAACAAACCAGATTCCAGTGGAGGATGAAATCAGGAAGAAGCGGTGGAAGTGGATAGGACACACACTACGAAAAGCACCTAACTGTGTCACAAGACAAGCCCTCACATGGAACCCTCAAGGCAAAAAGAAAACAGGAAGGCCAAGGAACACATTACATGCCGAGAAATAGAGAAAGATTTGAGAAGAATGAACAAACATTGGACAGAATTGGAAAGGGAAGCCCAGGACAGACAGAATTGGTTGGAGAAAACTGGTAGGCGGCCTATGTTCCTCTATTGTGGGGCTAACAGGCGTAAGTGAGTAAGTAAGTAATATCTCTCTCTCTTTTAACCTTCTTCCTCACTTATGACAAAACAACTTTATTTTTTCTCATTTAGCTTTTAATAATACAAACAATGTTTTTTAAAAATTCAGTTAATATTTTCTATTACTCTGTATATATTTAAGGCTAAGAAATAAACTTACCAACTAACCAATCAACTCCATTGCCTGTAGACTGCTGTTGTTGTTGTTGTTGTGGTTTTTGTGGTGGTAGTGGTGCTGGCAGAGATGTTTGCAGGCGTTGTTCTTGTTCATCAACTGATCCAATTTTGTCAGTTGATTTGCTTTGATCAGTTACATAATTGTTTGTTACTAAATGATCGTTTCGTTGTGTGTCATTGGAAGTAGCTTGTAAGATTTTCTTTTCAATGTCAATCTCTTCCTAAAATAATAATAATAATAATAATATTCTGAACAAAATTAAACAGTCAGTCAGTTAGTTTTAGTCAGCTACAACGTAGAGCTCCATACATAAAACTACATCAGTTCAAGTTGCCATACCATATTAGCAAAGGGATGCAACTATCAGTTCAAATCCTATAGTGGTAGAGATAGTAGAAGCATAAACGGTAATAGGGTAATTGAAGAAATTATTTGAGGGGTATAATTCAGTGAAGTGAATTACGGAAAAATAGAGGAAGATAAAGGTCATGAAGAATTCAGAAGATTAGGATTTGAGAGAATATAAACAGTGGATTCATTGAAGATGATTTTGAGCCATGTCATTCATTTAAAGTCTCTAAACATCAATTACTATCGTCTCACGGACCCCAAACCAGATAGTCGACATCAACCGACATGACTCAGTCCCACTTGTCAATGACTTCATGGATTTCTGTCATGTTTTGGTCTGGCCGCCCTTAGCTTTCTTCCAACCTATTCTCCTACACTACAAAACAAAGCTCGTGGAAGCAGTCGGTGGTTAGGCATACGCAACACATGTCCCAACGTTGGTTTTCTAAGTCATCGGCATGGATTCTCCGTATTCACACTAGCTCAATTTATATATATATATATATACAGAGACAAAGTTCTAACCACTGAAGAGAGTTCGCTTGTATTTTTTCTTGGAATGTTCATATATGGTTGGCTACGACGAATAAATAGCTTCTAACTAACTCACTAACTAACTAACACGAAAGTCCTTTATTCACTGTTTTGTGGACTAAACCTTTGTGGGTTGAAACGCTGGGGAATGGGAAAACCGTTATCCTTATCCAGCCCAGACATAAATTCCTGGATTTATTTGTAAGGCAAATATACATATTTAGGGAATTTTTTTTAAGTTGATTTTTAAGCGAAGATGTTTAAAATGAAGCCTGTTAACATTAACAAAAGAAGAAGAATACATTTAACTTATGCATTCAACAAGAATCACTCAACCAACTGATCACGAACAAAGTGAATTATTTCTTCAACTTCAATTATTCCCAATGTGTTTTATTAAAGAGAAAAATGTTTGCTCTTTTTTTAACTTGCCAACTTGTATTTTTATTTTTGCAGTTTTGTATTTGTGTATGCAAGTGTCTGGTTTGTACTTGGACCATTTTTTTTATAAACTTTGTATAAATTCTATTGACTGACTGACTCTACATTGACTACTACTGTAGTGAACGAGAACACAGGTGGGGCAACCGAATTGTATTTAACGAAAATTACAGAGTTACTCAGTAAAATCAGAAAACCATATCGTAAATCGTTCATTTGCAAAATATCAGTTCATCATATCGAACTGGACTGTTCCTGTTGCAAAACATCAACAATCCATTGTCACTATTCATGATGCGTTTCATACAAATTCCATTGTATTCTAACTCTTCCTTTCTTGATCTTTTCCCCATCTTCTGCTGCCAGACATTACGTTGACACTCGCGTCATATGCTACTTATAAGTAGCGCGCACCACACTACTACTAATACACACAATACAAATGGACAATTATTTTTTAAATCGAAATCATAAACCCACCAGTGTTAGATTACCATAAGAAACCTAAGAGTACTGAACGGTCATTTGGTTCTAGTATAGGACTACTACTCATCAGTAGTACGTATCCACGAGACCCACTAGCGGCATTCGGACCCCAGGAGCTTTTACGCACCGAACGTCAAAACTCTAAACTACTGAGCCGTCATCCAATCCACAGTCTTGTTGTACAACTTCATACCTAGGTAGGACTAAACCATCAATCCGTATAGTAGTGCGCTTCCAGGTTTCTTCTAATGATAGTCTTAACATTTCTCGATTCATGGTTTTAATGAAACTCAACAAATCTCCACAATCTTATGATGAAAATGTTTTTTTAAATTCTAGTTAAATTCAATCAATCTGTGTACTTTTTTCAAATGAACAAAAAAACAAAATTACTCATGAGAATTCATGCATGAACGTACAGTTTGTTGTGGTGATGTTGGACGAAGTAATTCAGCTAATAAATCGCGTAATGTACACAATGGTTCTGGTAGTTGACCGGAAGGAGGTAGACACTCTGAAAAAAAAACAAAGTTAGGTATAATTCTTTACAATTTTATTAAAGGCAGAGCATTAATAATTTTTTGATAAAACTCACAAAGAAAAAACCAGTAATCATTTAATTGGAAGTCAGTCAGTCAGATGCAACGTAGAACTTCGTACGTAAGTAAGTACATCAGTTCATGTTGACATACCACATCAGCACACAGATGTGATTGTCAATTCAAATACAATTGTAGAAGAGGTAGTAAAGGTATCAGCAGTAATCGGAGAGGTGACGATTAGAAGATATTATTCAAGAAATATGATTCAGTGAGAAAAGTTTAGAAAGTCAAAACTAGAGGGGTTGAAGAATTCAGAAGATTAGGATTTGCCAGAACACAAATAATAAATGCACCGGCGCTATTGCAAACGATTTTGAGCCATGTCATTCAGGGTATCTAACCATCGATTATGATCATTTCGCGGACCCCAACCAAGAGAGATATTAGGGGGTGTAGAAAGGATTTGATTTTGACCAATTTGGTCTCGCGTGCTGTTACGGGTATGAGGGCGGTTGTCACTTCCCGGCTGCCCACACCATGGAAGGTTGTTTCTTGAGGGACCTGAAAAGGAAGATGGATTAGTGTTGGTGCGTGACCGCAGAGCCCGAGGGACAACTGCTTGAGGCCGGTCACGCACGGCCTTTTTATGAAAGGTATTTAGAGGATTAGCTCCGTTCTTAAAGTCCCTTAGTGGGCACCCTTACCCAAGATTTAATTGGAAGAGTAAATTTTTTAGAAAATATGAATGAGTTCACTAATGAATCTATGAAATATCATTAACATTTGGCGTAGATTGACCAACAAAAACTAGCTTTAGGAGAGAGAGAGAGAGAGAGGCTGTTATACTTCGGTCATAAAGAAGAAAATGCCTGATATACTGTTACGCCTGCACGTAAACACGTCAACTTGATATACTCGAACTATTACGAGTTTACCTAGTCGGAAAACGAGAGCGAGGATCGAGGATCCGGCGACACGACACGCTACACAAATCCGATTATCCCAACCCCCATATTGAGTAAAAATAACAAGACTTGATATGAAGTAGAACATGTATTCTACAAGCATCCAAAAAGTGCGAGGTCCGAGTCCAGAAGAGAATCAGGATCCCTGACTAGGGTTCTGGGACCGGGTTCTGGTCCTGGTCATAAAATGTCACAGATAATGCGTATTTATACATTTTGGTCGAATAGGAAACAGCATCGAAGTCTGTGACATTGACAGTTAAGACGACCAATAGGAAGTAAGATCTGAAATGAAATTGACAGTCAGGACAACCAGTAATAGACAACATTGAAGTATTTGACTTTGACAATTAAAACGACCATAATTTTGACCAATAGAAATCGACCAATAGGATTTGACCAATGATTCTCTTAGGATATTGGATGAATATCCTAACATATACATAACTGGTTGCACTGATGCTGTCCAAACAAGCACATAATGCACTGATAGGATGGGAATCTTATGGACCCAGGATCATCAAAACATCCTTCGAAACAGAGAGAGAGAGAGGATATTACAATCAACGTCATCCAATGCTATGCACCTATCAATGACTACAATGACAACGTTAAAGATCAATTCTACGAAAGGCTGCAGTCAATCGTCGAGAAATGTTCACCAAAGGATTTGACGATTCTTATGGGAGACCTGAATGCCAAGGTTGGAATGGACAACATCGGATATGAAGACATCATGGGACGACATGGACTAAGACAACGAACGAAAAAAAAGAGATTTGCAAATCTATGTGCCTTCAACAAACCAGTCATCGTAGACAGTACTATATTCTCAGACAAACGCATACACGAAGAGCAAACGTTCCACTGGGTCACACCACACACATCCCAATCGATCATATCTGTATTGATAAAAGGTTCAAAATGATGATGTAGGAAATGAGAACAAAGAGGGGGGGCTGACATGGCATCGGATCATCACGTGGAGGTGAAGCTGAAACTCAAGAAAAACTGGACAACGTGGAGGACGACATCACGAAACTTTAATGCGGCTATACTTCAGGATACTGAACAACTTGAAAAAAAATTCAAGATAGCCCTCATCAACAGGTTCTAGTCCTTTCACAATCTACTCAATGGGGAGGAAATTATGATAGACAGCAACAGATAAGCCATTCACTATGTCATGAGGTTCTAGGTCACAAGAAACACCATCGCAAGGAATGGATTTCTGTGGATACACTGGATACGATTCAAGAAATGGGGAACAAGTCATCAATCAGTATCAGCCGAACAAAAGCAGAGAAAGTCAAGGCACAAGCTGAATACACAGAAGCAAACAAGGAAACGAACAGGATAATCAGAGTCGACAAACGTAAATATATTTGTGAAAGATCTAGCAATGATGGTGGAAAAGGCCACAACAGAAGGAAACTCGAGACAATTGTAAGATACAACAAAGAAGCTCGCTGGAAACTATCGTAAACCCGAACGACCAGTGAACAGCAAGAAAGGTAAAGCAATCATAAACATTGAAGAACAGAGAAACAAGTGGATGGGACACTTCGAAGAACTCTTGAATCGACCAGCCTCACTGCATAGACCCAACATCGAAGCAGCATCCACGGACCGACCAATCGGTGTTGGCCCACCAACAATTGAAGAGATCACAGTATGGCCTTCAGATAAATCAAGAGCGGCGAAGCAGCAGGACCAGACAACATTCCAGCACAGGCACTGAAAGCAGAAAGTGGCAACAACTGCAAAAATATTCCACATTCTCTTCAACAAGATTTGGGATGAAGAACAAGAACCAACTGACTGGAGAGAGGAATACCTCATCAAAATATCAAAGGAAAGGCGATCTCAGCAAGTGTGAGAACTCTTCTCTCAATACCAGGCGAAGTCTTCAACAGGGTATGGTTAAACAGAATGAAAGACTTCGTAGAGGCCCAAATTCGAGATCAACACACTGGATTCCGTGAGGATTGATCGTGTACCGACCAAATTGCAACATTACAAATCACTATGGAACAATCAATCGAATGGAACTCACCGCTTTACATCGACTTCATTAACTACGCGAAAGTATTTGATAACGTGGACAGGATGACACAAACCTGATTACAGCTGAGGAAGAAATCAGGAAGAACTGCTCGAAGTGGATAGGATACACACATTTGAGAGAGCACCCAATTAAGTCACAAGACTAGCTCTTACTTGGAATCCTCAAAGTCAATGGAAAAGAAGAAGACCAATGAACCCATCACGCCGAAAATTGGAAGCGGACAGAACTAGAAAGGAATGCTCAGGAAAGAATAGCTTTGAGAATGTTGGTTGGCTGGCTGCCTATATTCCATTGGGCGGGTAACAGGCGTTAATTAAGTATATAAGAAAGCTATAAGGCGTATTATTTTATTCAAAATTGTAGGTACATTTAAGTGATAAGTGGTAAGTAGAAAAAAAACTAGGTCCGGTATCCTTTGTCAATTATTTTCAACAAATCAATTGTCAAAGCACATCGAATAGCTGCTCCTGAGGAGTCCTGAACAATCCCATATAAAAGTCACTAGAGGGCCAGAAACATCAGAAAACATATTCAGTCAGTCAGTCAGTCAGATGCAAAGTAGAACTTTGTACGTAAGTACATCAGTTCATGTTGCCATACCGCATCAGCACAGAGACGCAATTGTCAATTCGAATCCAATAGTAGTAGAGGTAGTAAAGGTATTAGAAGTAATCGGAGAGGTGACGATTAGAAGATATTATTCAAGAAGTATGTAATTCAGTGAGATAAGTTTAGAAAGTCAAAACTAGAGGGGTTGGAGAATCCAGACGATTAGGATTTGAGAGAACACAAAGAATAAATGCACCGGAGCCATTGCAAAAGGTTTTGAGCCATGTCATTCAAGGTCTCTAACCATTGATTATTATCATCTCGCGGACTCCAACCAGGTAGTCGACAACTACCACCGACATGGCTCAGTCCACTCGTCAATGACTTCATGGATTTCTCCCATGTTATAGTTTGGCCGCCCCTAACTTTCTTCCAACCTACTCCTACACTACAAAACAAAGCTTGTCAAGGCAGTCGGTGGTTAGGCATATTATCAAATCAATATTGGTTGTGGAGCTTTCATTGTTCTTCTGCTGAACAACATCATCATCAGCACAAACTTCAGATAGAAGAAGTGAAGCATTCGAATTTCTCCTCCACGTTTGACCTGTAGCTTGTTCTGCTAACCTCGATCTTGATTGGTTGCTGTTGTCTTTTGACCTGTCGTTGTTTGCACCTGTGTTTTGATTGCACCTCCCTTTTGATCTGTTTCTTGATCCTATGATTTTTCAGCGGTCAAAACAAAGTTGCAAACAACGCCAGGTCAAAAGACAACAGCAACCAATCAAAATCGAGGTTAGCAGAACAAGCTACAGGTCAAACGTGGAGGAGAAATTCGAATGCTTCACTTCTTCTATCTGATGATGTTGTTCAGAAGAAGAACAATGAAAGCTCCACAACCAAAACAGCATCCAGCTCACAGAACAAAACACCACCGCAGTCATCCACCTGAGCTACAAGTTTTTGTCCACCATTTCTAAATTACTGTACAGATTTAGTCTACACACACACAGTAAAAGACAATTTCATCATTGTTATCCCACATACCATACGGTGTACGATTACAACCATCTTTCGCCTCTTTCGCATCATATTGTTGACCAGTTTTTGTCACTGAGAAATCTGCTGCTTGTATTAATATACGCGCTGTGCCTAATGACAGTTGACTAGCGGCTAAATGTAACGGTGTGGAATTATCCAATAGGGATGCTCTCGCAGAAATACATGCACCACGATGTATCAACAAATCAGCTAAGATAGGACAATCAAAATAGGCGGCATAATGCAACGGTGTCATATCGGTCCATTTACAACGGGCTTCCAGATTGGCGCCTTCGTCTAATAAATAATTAGCTATCCTGTAAATAAGTAAGTAAACAGATAAACAGAGACATACATAAATCGATCGATAAATCAATAATTAACCTGCGCCAATCAATAAATCAATAGATGAGCTATAGAAACGCAGATAATCATGCATGATGTTGTGATTTGATTTTAAAAAAAGGAATTGACATTGATAGATAGATAGATAGATATACACATTATATTTGTCAGTAATTTGTTAATTTCTTCCGTATCGGAGGAGGACTCTTCGACAATGAACATACATAGGATTGCGCGCGCCAGGGAGGGACAGATCGAAACTTAGCTACATTATCACAAGACTTGGATTCGATTACTTAGTAGAATTTTCTTGGATGGATAGATGTGTTCAAAGAGCTGAGTAGTTCCATTACTGATGAAACTGTAGTTTAGCGTGTTTTGGAACTGGTAATGGAAATGGACTCGATGAATTAAGTGGTTTGAATCTAGTAGATAGTTATAAACTATGTAGGATTTAATAGAAATAGGCATAAATTTTGTAGTAACACATCCCGATTTATAGAGGCTAACTTGACGTTGGAGACGAAAATCCGAGAGGTAAGGTGAAGTGTGACACCTTTAGGGTTGACCATTGCTTATGAGAAGGCAGCATCGCTGCAGATGCTGGTTGTCCGAGGGAAACACCTTACTGCTGTCACACCCCTCCATCACAGTCAGCAGTACGACTTCGCCCTCAGACCTTGAGTTGCTACTTTTAGTCTCACCGGCCTCCAATCGACCTGCCTGGCGTCATAGAACCTGTACAAGAACATAGGTTCTAGCCAATATAGCTCGGTTGGGTCATCACGATAGGCAAGCCAGACCGCCAGCACCACACGTCAAAACTGTAGCGACGGTCAAGATCTGTGATGAGTAAGATTTGTGAATCGAAAAAAAAGAAACCAATCCTAAAAAAACAATCTTTCCAGTTAAATTCAGTGACACAATTCATGCACTAGTAAACAAGATCTATATTTATAAATATGATCATACCATACACGACTTACCGACATGCTGCTTGTTCATCGCCTAATGCACCGGATTTTGCAGCAAAATGCAATAAAGTCATATCACTTAAACCATCTCGATCATCAACATGAGCACCACGTCGAAATATCTGGAAAAAATGAACAAATAAGTTGATTTCATCATTCAAGACAACAACAAAAAATCCATTGGGATTACATAATAGATATAGATACCATGACACATGGATGGATGGATGGATGGATAGCGAGAATGAATCACTACTGGACATTTGTTATGTTCGTCACTAGGTACGCTTGAAGCTATTACGAGTTCACCTGAGTCGATAAACGCGAACGAGACAATGAATTAGCGTCCATCCAGATAGGCTACCTTGAATCCCAAAACTGTGAAACAGAAGACTTGGTAAGTGTAGAAAGTATATTTCTACAGACAACCAGCAATCACACAATACAATCAAGCATACAACTCTCGTTTATTTATTTATACATCATAGAAACGTCCTTGGGACAATTACGAAAATAGCGCACACTAAAATAACACACAGCAGCCAATCACAGCCATGGATCTTGCTGGTGGGAAATGTGTGATCTCAAGATCAACTGATCAGCCCATGCTAGCAAACGTGAAATCTAAAGTAAGGCATTTATCAAGCGAGAGTTCTGGGGATCTAAACATCCCCAACAACATTATTGATTGGATCATTTCACTAATCCAAACACTCAACTATGCAAAAAGGATCTAAGGTGGTATGTATGTTTCTGTCATCATTCATTGCCCCATGTGATATTATTATTTCTAAGTACGTCTAGAGTTCGAATGTAATATCATCAATATGAAAATCAGATGACTGTGTGTAAATAATGCGACGGATGCGTTGTGAATTGAATCTCTCTGATTGATTCACACAAACTATATACAGTGGTGATCAGTCAGTCAGTAGGCTACACAATGTATGACTTTGTACGTACGTACGTGCGTACACGTACATCAGTGTTCAAGTTGCCATGCCATATTAGCATACCACAGATAGAATTGTCAGTTAAAATCACATCATAGTCAAGGTAGTATCAGCGTAAGCAGTAATCAAAAAGATATTCGAGGAGTATGTCCCAATAGGATCAATTTAAAAAGAGAAAAGTGGTTATGAGAAATTCAGAGGAATGAAATTTGAGCCAATAGAAAGATTGGATCGCATCTGAGCTACTGCAAACGATTTCGAGTCATACCACACCGATTATGATCGTATCACGGACCCCAACCATTGTTATCATACGGTTGTGAAGATTGTTGAGTTTCATTAAAATGATGAACTAATCATTGTTAGACCACCATTGGAAACTTGGAACTGCTGGATGGCCATGTCGTTCTATAGTATGCAATTACTCATCAGCAGTGTGCATCCACGACCTTGCAAGACGAAAATGAATTCAAAACCTTCAGTCTCAAATGCGAACACGTAACCTCTTGAGCCGACGTCCAACGGTGTTAATGTCTAATTTCTATGAATCCACAATATTAATCGACCTCAGCCATTGTGTTTGACGGGTTACTGTCTCATACTCGAACAGGGATGAGATCACGACTTATCCCTAGAACTCCGACAAATTCCTCCTCATGAAGCTAGTCACTAGAGTGAGCACATGATAATTTTCATTACAAAGTTGTAGAGGTTATTATTCAGTTTCCGCATTGAAATCATGAACTGAACCATTGTTAGAGCACTACATCGTACTACTACGAAATAGACTGTCTAGTACTTCCAAGGTTGTAAAATTAGTTTAACACTGATTAGTACATAATTTGTAAGTAAACTACATAGGTAATTAACAATGTGTTCCAATTACAAGCCAGATTAGTGGAAATTATTTAAATAACCAATCATAATTCTTGTTTTGTTCAAATGCCTAAAATATTTCAGTTATCAATCAAGTAGTTTACACCTATCAACATGGCTCAGTCTAGCTGTCAGTGACCTTATGGCTCTTTCTAACATGTTTTGGTTTGGCCTCACCTAGGTTTCTTCCGACCTAATCCTACACCACAAAACATCGCTCTTCGAGGCAGTCGGTGTTTGGGCATACCTTAACACATGTGCAAATCACCTAAACTGATGAACATTCACCACTTCATTAATTATTGATTTGCCATTCTAATCAAGTACCTTTTCCTAACAACAGCATCGTTTGCTTGATGTTCTCAGGAAAACACGAGCAAAATGCTTCAAAGACAATGATGATCGAAAACCAGTAACCTATGAAGAATATCCTCTACTCTTACTTGCCATGTTTCACAGCCATAAAGTAAACTGCTTCGCAGTAAACTCGTCCTTTGCTTAGCAAACCAATATCTCGCCTACGCCATTAATGACGCAGGTTGGCAAAAGCCAATCGAGCTGTCTGTATCCGTACCGAGATTTTCATCACACACACCAGGCTATCAGCATTGATGAAACTCCCAAAATAAGTGAAGCGGTCGACATGCTCAACTATATCACTACTCCCTATATATCAATCACTATAGTTCCGGTGCTGATGTAATCCAATTATTGCATTTCAAGGAGGTAAATTTAATTTAATTAGTAAACAAAAAAATTAAACATACATACCTCTTCAACTATAGTAATCAGCTGTAACTGGGCATAAGGTGTCCATTGGCGTAGAATAGCAAATAATTGAGATATACTTAAATTAGTTGATGTCACTGATTCTTGACAATCTTCACACCACCATGGACCAATTGGCATACGCATAACCCATGATCTAGATTCATCTTCATCATCATGAATCATTTGATCAAGAAGATGAGGATGATGATGTTGATTAGTGTTATTATTATTTACAGGTGATCCAGTAGTCATGGAATAATTAGTATGATTATATTCTTTGGACATTTCTTCATCCATCACACGACAATTCTATGCAAACAAAGAAGAAGGGGGAGGACAAAGGTGGTAGGTAATATAATAAAGGAAGTTTTATTGAATCATAGAGTTGAAACTGATGGATTTGATAGTGATCATCAAGTTGATCTTATTATATGGTGTTACGACTGTTCGAACTGTGTAAGGGTGTTTTCTTGAAGAACCTGAAAAGGAAGCTGGATCGATGTTGGTCTTATCGACCTGGAAGCTTGACCGCCGTGCCCGACAGATAACTGCTTGAGGCCGGTCACACATGGCTTATATATGGGACGTTTTCAATGTGCTAACTCCACTCTTCAAAGTGACCTTAACGTCGGAGACGAAAATCCGTGGGGTAAAAAGGTGAGGTGTAGTGATATCTTTTAGGATTGACCTTATTTAACCCATTTCTTCCGTTGACAAAAAGCAGCAATCTCTGCAGATGCTGGTTATCTGAAGGGGAAGCACCTTACTGCTGTCACAACTCTCTACAGTTCGTATAGTACAACTTCGCCTACAGACCTTTAGATCTTACCGTTCTCCAGTTGAACTGCCTGGCATGGTAGGAACATAAAGAAACAGATGTTTCAGCCAATGTAGCTGCTCAGTGGGGTCTTCATGATAGGCAAAGTTTCAGCTACAGTCAGAAACATTATCGATTGACATGAATGGAAGAAGCATTAAAAGAAGTAGGAAACATTGGAAAACTTTTTCATTTTAGCATCGGACGATCTATAGGAGTGTGGATATTTACAACCATACCATGGAATCGAAATCAAGGGCCTTTATAAGTTTCACAAAAGCTGATTAACTTTTAGACTACTAAATGCAAGCAAGTATTTACTTTCCATTAATGACTCAGAAATGAAAAACTAGACATATTCAGAGATTATTATCGATTTTTATGTAGTAAAAACGTATCACGCTGAGAAATGATATGAGATGATATGAGAAGAGAGTGAACAACAATTGGACAGAACTAGAAAGTAAGGCTCAGGACAGAGTAGACTGGAGAATGCTGCTGGTCGGCAGCCTATGCTCCCTTTGAGGGTGACAGGAGTAAATGAACAAGTAGGTGTGTACTGAAAGTACAGTTATTCAATAACAGGAAATCAGTGGTAACAATCTCTAACTGTGAACAATGAAGGAGTTGAATACAGAAGACGGCGTCTGTAATTGTTGATGAGTGTCAACTAAAGTATGAAACCTATGGTTGTGATTCTCAGTCGATTGCCTATATGAGCGTGATACAATCCTAAGTGTTTCATCAGGCTGCAATCGAAACGGTACACTGATTGGTTCATTTTAAACTAATTGATGATGTGTATGAGTGATGATACAAACTTAAATTTGATGACACTACATTTTGTGAATAAACTAATCACGTAAATTCATCGTATGTCTATATATTTTTACATTATAGCTATTATTAGTTCGTAATGACAAATCCCAAACCCAAACACTTAATTAGGAACAATGTGGGGACGACAAAATAAGCTGTTTGAGCTCTTTTACGGGCTTCAGAAAGTGGGTAATCCATACCCATTAAAACGACTTTAGAAATCGTTGTTTCCTAGAATCACAAACAGTATCACCGGTAGAAGACGTTAAATCTCCCCATCTCTGACCACATTTAGGGAGAAATACTAGTTTATATGTGTCACGCATGCACGTAAACATGTCATTTGATATGCTTGAGCCATTACGAGTTTACCTTAGTCGGAAAACAAGAGCGAGGATCGAGGATCCGACAACACGACAGGCTACTCTAATCCAATTGTCCCAACCCCCATTGAATAAAAGAAGAAGACTTGATATGAAGTAGTGGAACATGTATTCTACGAGCATCGAGAAAGTACGAGTTCCGAGTCAAGAAGAGAATCAAGATCCCGGATTAGGGATACGGGCCATAAAACTTTACAGATAATGTGTGTAGGAATAGGAAACAGCATCGAAGTCTGTGACATTGACAAGTCAAGACGATCAATAGGAAACAACACTTGAAGTGACATTAAAATTCAGGACGACCAGTAGGAATTAACCAATAGGAATAGACCAATAATTCTCTTAGGATATTGGATGAATATCCTAACAATATGTACTCAGCTTTAAGCTGTAAATGTTGTATTGTGAGAATATTTGTATTATCATGAGTCACGCGAAAACCGAATTCGATAATATGTAGTTCGAACCTGGAATCTATATTGGTTACACATCAAATACTTTAATCGTACGTAAATGCGCTATTTTAGTGTCACGTGATCTAACTACTTTAGTTTTAAACAGTCGAATTTGCGGTGAACTAAATCTCCCGTTCAGTTTCCCTATATCACACACATACTTAGGCGAAATCTCATTTGTGCGATGGCGGTAATAAGGAGCCATATATGGATGAGAAGCGTACAAACATAACGAAGCGAAGTGGAGAAGGCGAGTGAGTCAGCACTCCTTGCGATGCAGCATGGCCAAGTATTTATAGTCAGACAAAATAAGCTAGACACATGTGACGAACACACATACACACATATACTCAAGCAAAAACAACCGAGGATATAAGCGAATGATTGACAAGGTCAAACGCCAAGTGAATTACAACTCAGGTACAACGAAGCGATCAAATTGTCTAAAAGCTGAGCAAGCTAATGTGGGCTTGACTTAAAAAGTTCACAAACACACTACATGTTGTAACATTTGTTTTTCAGTCTTTTATTCCTGAATTGCTTTACAAAAAAATCACGCAAAATCCGTAGATCAATCAGAGTTAGACACTAACACCGTTGGGTGCCGGCCCAGTGGTCCAATGGTTGGGCGTTCGCGCACAATACCGAAGGTCCCGGGTTCGAATCCTGCGAGGTGCAGGAGTCGTGGATGCGCACTGCCACTGATGAGTCCCATACCAGGACGAAACGGCCGTCTTTCAGTGCTTCCAGGTTTCTAATGGTAGTCTAACAATGATTGATTGATGATTTCAAATGTGTAAAAACACAAACCTCCAAAACTCTGCCTGAAAAAATCATGCTATTCAATTGTGAACAAAGCATGAAACTTTATAACAGTGATGAAATCAACCTTTTAAGGAATAAAAATATATCCATTCAACCAAACGACAGAAATGCACAAACAAAATAAGAATACTTGATTGAGCAGAGTTAAACCCTAACAACGTTGGATGCCAACTCAGAAGTCTCCAAAGGTTAGGTGTTTGCACGCAAGACCAAAGGTCCTGGTGTGGTGCGCGCTACTTATAAGTAGTATATGATGTGAGTGTCAACGTAATGTCTGGTGGCAGCAGAAGATGGGGGAAGATCAAGAAAGGAAGAAGAGTGGGAACACAATTGAATTTATATGAAACGCATGAATAGTGAACTGTCAAACAATGGATTGAAGATTTGCAAATTAACGGTTTACGCGATATGGTTTTCCTATTTTACTGAGTAACTCTGTAATTTTCGTTAAATACAATTCGGTTGCCCTCACCTGTGTTCTCCTTCACTACACTGGGTTCGAATCCTACAACTAGCTGGAGTCATGGGTGCGCACTGCCACTGATGAGTACCCCGTACCAGGACGAAACAAACGGCCATCTATACAGTACTTCCAAGTTTCTAATGTTTGTCTAACAAAAATTATTCATTCATGATTTTGAATAAGTCAAAAATCAATCATGATTTCCATGTGAATTTATGGCAGAATGACGTGTAATATATGTGGTGAAAAGGTGTATATGATGAACATGACAAGCTAGTTTACAAGATTGTATGTACAAAATTTACATTATATGCTGGATAAGAGCATAAAAGTGCAGATGTACACAACACAATTAGTTATGCTTATCAATTACAGTCTAATGTGGGTAGACATATGCGTGTGTGTGTGTGTGTGTGCAGACAATATTTTAAATGACAATTATTGCGATAACAGAGTGTACAAGTGAGGAGGAGAACACTGTGGATCGATAAAATGACAAACAATTTTTTTTTTCAAATTTCAATGTCAAGTTTTCTATGACCATTGGAACAGTGAGTAGTCAATAGAAAAATCAAAGTTAGTATCGATTAGAGAAAGCACTACTGTAGTGAAGGAGAACACAGGTGAGGGCAACCGAATTTGTATTTACCCGAAAATTACAGAGTTACTCAGTAAAATCGGAAAACCATATCGTAAATTGTTCATTTGCAAAATATCAGTCCATCATCTTATCGAACTGGACTGTTCCTGTTGCAAAACATCAACAATCCATTGTCACTATTGATGCGTTTCAAACAAATTCCATTGTGTTCTTCTAACTCTTCCTTTCTTGATCTTCCCCCCATCTTCTGCTGTCAGACATTACGTTGACACTCACGTCATATACTACTTATAAGTGGCTCGCACCACACTAAAACTTGTATTTTAAATGTCATACAGGTGATGGTTTACATAACTGTGCATTAATTGCCAACAATGGCACGACTGTACGGAAAAGGTGAGGAGATAAAGGGTAGTTGTACAGAATCGAGACTCGTCAGTCCATCATGATCCCCAAGTTAAGGGGGTACTAGAAATGGCTTGATATTGTTAGGATATTCATCCTAATATCCTGAGAGAATTATTTGTAAATCTAATCGTATTGGTCGATTTCTATCAATGTCATATACTTCAAGTGTCGTTTCCTATTCGACTTAACGGTATACATGACCCGGATCCTTAGTCCGGGATGCTTATCCTTTTCTACACTCCGACCGCGTACTTTCTGGATGCTTGTGGAACACACGTTCTACTTCATATCAAGTCTTGTTCTAATTAATGGGGGGTTTGGGACGCTCGGATTAGAGCAGCCTGTCGTGTCGCCGGATCATCAATCCCCGCTCTAGTTTGCCGACTAAGGTGAACTCGTATTAGTACAAGCATATTGACATGGTCACGTGTATTCGTAACAGAGATTTTACCAGATACGGTTCAGAATGTAGTCTGTTTATTTTCTACATCAAAAAAGAGAGGAAATGTTTTAAGTAAGAGATGCTCTTTATGGTTGCATTTTTATCTGAGTCTCATAGAATGTGGAATCTTTGTAGTTATTGAACAACCAACTAATCATAGCTAAACTATTATCGAAAGGCTGGAGGAAGTACTGTTTCATCCCTCTTGTATTGCTCGTCTGCACCCACACTACACAGGGAATCCAATCCATGAGCTTCGATGTCGAGTGTGAACGGTAAAATGACATGAACAATACCTACGGATCGGCAAAGCAAGGGCTGCATTTTTACAATTGAAAAACATCTGGAACTCAAAACAACTATCAACCAACATCAAAAAATTAGAATTTTCAATATAAATGTCAGGACAGTTCTATTGTATGGCGGGGAAACTTGGAGAACTACGAAAACCATCCCTCCAGAAGATACAAGTATTGATTAACAGTTGTCTACTCAAAATACTTTGGATTTGCTAGCCAGATACTATTAGCAACAACCTAGTGTGAGAGAGAACAAACCAGATTCCGGTGGAGGAGGAAATCAGGAAGAAGGGCTGGATGTGGATAGGACACATATCGAGGAAAGCACCCAACTGTGTCACAAGACTACCTCTAAAACTTGGAGCCCTCAAAGTCAAAAGAAAAGAGGAAGGCCAAAGAACACACACAATATGCCAAGAATTGGAGACAGATATGAAAAAGAATGAACAAGCGCAGAACATAGTACGTTGGAGAATATTGGTCGGCAGCCTATGCTTCATTGGGGGTAACAAGCTTAGGTAAGTAAGTAAGTAATCTTGTGCAGTATTGGCCACCGAAAAGCATTCTCCAAACCCTTCTGCTGTCTAGGCTCTCTCTCTGTCTAGTTCTCTCCAAATGTAAGTTATTCTTTTGATGTCCACCTCCAATTCCAGGTGCAATGTATTCTTTGATTTACCTCTTCTCTCCCTTGGCATTGACGATTCGACGTTAGGGTTGGGCCTCGTGATGCAGTTGGGTGATTTCCGCAAAATTAGATCCCGTCCAATTTCAAAATATTGCTCTAATTTCCGCCTAAAATGGATTCTGGTTTGTTCTCTCCCACAGTGAGTTCTTTCTGATGGTATGTGGAAACAAATCCATAGTATTTTGAAAAGAAGGTTACGTATAATTACCTTTGGATAACGACTTTCATTGTTCTCCAGGTCTCATCTCCAAAACAATAGAACTGTTTTCATGTTTGAAATGAAAATTCCGAATCTGCTTTTCACTGATAGCTTGTTTTCAGTTCCAGATGTTGTCTTCAAAAGGAGAAATGCTTTTGTTGCTTTGCTAACCCGTGACTTCACATCTGCATCACAGCCCTTTGTTTATCAGTCAGTGATACTGTCTAGATATGTCAAAGTTCCACATGTTTCAAAGTTTTCCCCATAAAGTATGATTCGGTTGTTGCTTGCTGTCTTGTATCTAAGGATCTAGCTATTCCCTTTGTGTATATTAAGACCTATTGCTGCAGAGGTCGAACTTTCTGCCCAACCTAGATTTTTGAGTTCCGATTGGGACTAAATAACTAGGAGTAAATGTAATCCTTAAGGCGAAAATGATACTCCCAGTAGAACTATTCAAACCGGCATCAGTTAGCTTTACAGTTTTAAAACCTTGTCACTAAACTATTCAAATTGCGATTGATTATATACTATGACAGACAAACGTTTTTTGCTCAAGTTTCATCAAAAATTTCGTGCAACTCAGTTTGCATGTTTGTTTATTGAGAACACAACTTACTTATTTACTTACTTACGCCTGTTACCCGCAATGGAGCATAGGCCGCCCACCAGTTTTCCCCAGCCAACTCTCTCCTGGGCTTCCCTTTCTAGTTCTTTCCAGTTTCCGTTCATTCTTCCCATATCTTTCTCTATTTCTCGGCGTAATGTATTCTTTGGCCTTCCTCTTCTCCTTTTCCCTTGAGGGTTGCAAGTGAGGGCTTGTCTTGTGACGCAGTTAGGTGCTTTTCGTAGTGTGTCCTATGCACTTCCACCGCTTCTTCCTGATTTCCTTCTCCACTGGAATTTGGTTTGTTCTCTCCCAGAGTAGGTTGTTGCTGATGGTGTCTGGCCAACGAATACGAAGTATTTTGCATAGACAACTGTTAATAAACACTTGTATCTTATGGATGATGGCTTTCGTAGTTCTCCATGTTTTGACATTTGTATTGAAAATGCTGATTTTGGTTTTGGTTGAAAGTTGTTTGGAGTTCCAGATATTTTTCAACTATAGAAATGCAGCCCTTGCTTTGCCGATCCCTGCCCACACATCTGCATCCGATCCACCTTTCTCGTCGATGATGCTGCCCAGATTTGTAAGGGTGGTAACGTCCTCCAAGGCATCTCCATCAAGAGTGATTTGTTTGGTGCATGTTGTGTTGCATCGGAGAATTTTGCTTTTTCCTTTATGTATGTTGAGACCTACTGCTGCAGAGGCTGCTGCTACACTGGTCGTCTTCTCTTGCATTTGTTGTTGAGTGTGCGATAGAAGAGCCAAGTCATCTGCGAAGTCCAGATCGTCTAGCTGCGTCCTAACTGTCCAGTTGATACCGTGCTTCACTCCAGATGTTGACGTTTTCATAATCCAGTCGATCACCAGGAGAAAGAGAAAGGGTGAGAGTAAGCAAACTTGCCTCACACCGGTCTTCACCTCGAAAGAGTCGGTTAGCTGTCCTCCGTGCACGATTTTGCAGTTGAATCCATCATAAGAGTTCCGTATGATGTTAACTATTTTCTCAGGCACAACAATATACATATATATATATATATATATATATATATATATATATGCAAACTGCCAACTTACTTCACAAAATGGTATTTCACTTGGTGGATGCACTATCGGTTGACTACGACGAGGTTGATAATATAATCGATCCACTTCATCGGCATCGGCGTCATCATCATCATCATCATCGGATGAAATGATTCTTGCATTGTTATTGAAATTATTATTGTACCGTACATTCTTACTGGATTTTTTTAATAAAAAACACGATGATGCTGATGAGGCTGATGCTGATGAACGAGCAACTGTACGCGGTGAAGGAGCACAACTGGTAGTTAAACCAGTAAGACGATTATGACAATCAAGCTATAAATAGAGAATCAAAAGTAAAAAAACAGAACGTTATTATTGATATTCAGAGTTATATAATCATTATATTGTGACTAAAGCTCAACAATCAGTCAGTCAGTCAGTTACAACGTTGAACTTCGTACGTACGTACGTACGTAGACCAGTTCAAGTTGCAATTGTCAATTCAAATCCTATAGAGTGGTAGAGCTAGTAGTAGAAGTATCAGCAGTAATCATGGAGATTAAGGATCGAAGATATGATTCGGTAAAATTTAAGAAGAGGAGAGTTAAGCTGATGAGGAATATAGAAGATTAAAAATTTAAGAGAATGGACGAGGAATGGACACATATCTGCGCCACCACAGACAATTTCAAAACATGTCACTCAAAACTCTGGTTACCAATGTCTCGCAGACCTCAGCTAGATAGATAGTCTATAGACCTACTTAACATGGCTTAGTCCAGTCGTCATCGACTTCATGGAGTTTTATGCTACGTTTTAGTTTGGCCATCTCTAGCTTTCTTCTATTTTTTCTCAAAGTAAATGAGTCATGTTGAACTATTTAAATGTGATTAGAATAAAAGAGTCTATTTACTAGGAGGAGTATTGAAGTCCAGAAAAAATTTTTTTAAAAAAATAACAGAATATAACATAATTATTGGCAGTAAAAGTAATATATAATCATACTGTCACTCACGCTCAACAATTAGTCAGTCGGTCACAGTCAGTTACAACGTAGAACTTTGTACGTAAGTACATCAGCTCATGTTTCCATACCACATTAGCACACAGAGATGCAATGCAGTAGAGGTAGTAAGGTATTATAGCAGTAATTGAAGAGATTAGGATTAGGAGATATTATTCAAGAAATAGGATTTATTGAAATAAACTTAAAAATAAAAAGTTTAGGATTTGAGAGAATACAAAGAATGGATGGATGCACTTGTGTCGTTGCGAACGATTTTAAGCCATCTTTTACAGGGTCTCTAACCATTGATTACTATGATCTCGCGGGCCACAACCAGATAGTCGACACCTACCGACATAGTTCAGTCCGGTAGTCAATGACTTCAAGGATTTCTGCCATGTTTTGGTTTGGCTGACTCTAGTTTTCTTTCAACCTACTTGTACACTACAAAACATAGCTCGTCGAGGTAGTCGGTAGTTGGACATTCATAAACACATGTGCCAAACACCTTCACTGCCTAGTGCTTCCAGGTTTTTTCCTAATATTGGTCTAATATTGATCGATTCATATAAAATTTTTTGTTTTACAACTCGAACTTTTGGTTTTCATTATTCCTTATTTGAGATTTGTACTCGCTTAGTTAATTTTGAAATCATGAATTGATCATTGCTAGATCGTCGATGGTAACTTGGAAGCACTGGACGAAGGGTTTCAATCTAGTATGGTACAATTCATCAGCAGTGCGCATGCACGACCCTCATTTGCGGGAATCGAACTCAGGACCTTTTCTGATATTATTACACTACATAAAGGATGTTCATTCATTTTTTTTTATAACGTTATGAAATAAAGTGAGAATTCATAGTCTTCTCCAATAATAACGAGAAAAAAAAGTTAGTGAATACAACTTAATTGAATTGAGAATAATTATTTCATTAGTTCATTAAATTTTATTTATCAATCATAAAAAGGTTTTTATGTTGTTTATCTTAGAATTTTCATTGAAAAAAATAAGGAACTTAATTGAAAATAAATAAATAACCGATCAAACCAAAAAAAACATGACACAAATCTATGAAGTCAATGACAAGTGGACTGAATCATGTTGGGAAATGTTGACTATCTTGGTTTATGTTCGCGAAATACAACAGTAACTGATGGTTGGAGACATTGAATGACATGGCTTAAAATCGTTTGCAATGATGCAGATGCATCCATTCAGAAATCTCACTCCTCTGAATTTCGCATGACCTTTTTTCTCTTGAAAAATTGATCCCAGCGGAATACACTTCTCGGATCATATCTTCGAACCCTAAATTTTCGATTACCACTAAAACGACTACTACTTTTACCACAATAGGATTTGAATTGGCAACTCTAAGCATCTTTTCTGTGGTATAGCAACTTGAACTGGTGTACGTACGAATGAAGTTCTACGTTGTAACTGAATGACTGGATCATATAAGGCAAATAAAAAGAGACAGTAAGATAACGAAAGTTTGTAACTCCGGAACCACCTCCACTACACACTCTAGGATTAGGCTTGACAATTTCATTTATCTATGCTGATGTACGTTCGTATGAAGTTCTACGTTGTAACTGACTGATTAACTTCATCGAACAGTAACTCCAATGATGAAAAGTTCCAACTTTCAGTCTATATGTAGCAGAATAAAATTCTGCAGAACAAGATTTCTTGATAAGAGATTTCAATAAAATGGCCATTTTAAAAATAGTGAAATATTTTTAAATAATGTTTAAAACATCTGCATTTCAATTACTAAATAGATTGTAGTTGCAAACATTGCTACACCTTTTGTTCAGTTCAGACAAACACAGGCCTCAAAGCCAATAAGTCGGTAGCATTCGTCACATTTCCACCTTAGTTGTACTAACCACTGAAAAACAGCGAGCATTAAACAATTATTTTATTATTTTTGTAAATGGATCCTTGTTAGACCATCATTAGAAACCTGGAAGCACCAGACGGTCATTTTGTCCTGATATTGAACTCAACACGCAGTGAGCATCCGTGATTATTCATGATTTCAATAACAAACAACAATCTCCATAAGTTTACAGTGTGCTCACTAGTGACTAACTCCATGAGACAAATTCTCGGAATTCGAATGAGAAGCTATGACCAGCGGAGTTCAACCTTGTCCGGTGTAATCAGTAACTACTAAAAACAATGTGTGAGATTTCGCAAGACCTTCGATTGATCAGATTTAGACATTCATCCTGTTGGATGCCGCCGGTCCATTGTTCCGATGGTTAGGCGTTCGCGCACAATAACCGAAGGTCCCGGGTTCGAATCCTGAGAGGTGCACGAATCATAGATGTGCACTGCTGATGAGTCCCATACCAGGACGAAACTGTCATCTAAACAGTACTTCCAGGTTTCTAATGATAGTCTAAGAGAAATATCAATCTCCATAACTCTAATAATAACAAAACCAAGATGTTCAGGCAGTCAGATGCAACGTAGAACTTCGTACGTAAGTACATCAGTTCACGTCGCCATACCACATCAGCACAGAGATGTAATTGTCAATTCAAATCCAATAGTAGTAGAGGTAGTAAAGGTATTAGAAGTAATCGGAGAGGTTAGGATGAAAAGATATTATTCAAGAAATATGATTCAGTGAGAAAAGTTTAGAAAGTCAAAACTAGAGGGGTTGAAGAATCAAGAAGATTAGGATTTGAGAGAACATAAAGAATAAATGCACCGGCGCCATTGCGAACAATTTTGAGCCATGTCATTCAACGTCTCTAACCATCGATTATTATAATCTCGCGGACCCCAACCAAGTAGTCGACAACTACCACCAACATGGCTCAGTCCACATCTCAATGACTTCATGGATTTCTGCCATGTTTTGGTTTGGCCGCCACTAACTTTCTTCCAACCCACTCCCCTACACTACAAAACAAAGCTCGTCGAGGCAGTCGGTGGTTAGGCATATTATCCAATCAACATTGAATAGAAACTTAGAGGAAACATCTGGAAAATGCCATATCATGTGCCACAATCAATACTTAGCCATACCGCTATTTCATTTAGCTTGGTTCCATAGGAAACTTCTTCCCAAAGTCCCGAAGGACTTCACAACTCTATCCTCATTTCTCCGTGCACAAAACTAATTTCAAATTCACACTTCGCGCCTATTCCTCTTCTTTCCAAATTAATGTGGTGGTGTTTTGTTCTCTGAGCTGGTTGTTTTGGTTGTGGAGCTTTCATTGTTCTTCTGAACAACATCATCAGCACAAACTTCAGATAGAAGTGAAACATTCGAATTTCTCCACGTTTGACCTGTAGCTTGTTCTGCTAACCTTGATCTTGATTGGTTGCTGTTGTCTTTTGACCTGTCGTTGTTTACAACTTTGTTTTGATTGCACCCCCTTTTGATCTGTTTCTTGATCCTATGATTTTTCTGATTGGTTGATAAATTGAGTCAATGTCGATGTGTTTGTTGTTGCACCCCCTTTTGATCTGTTTCTTGATCCTATGATTTTTCAGCAATCACAACGGACCCCAACCAGGTAGTCGACACTTACCGACATGGCTAAGTCCACTCGTCAATGATTTCATGGATTTCTGCCATGTTTTGGTTTGGCCGCCACTAACTTTCTTCCAACACACTCCCCTACACTACAAAACAAAGCTCGACGAGGCAGTCGGTGGTTGGGCATACGCAACACATGTCCCAACCACCTCAACTGAAGTGTCACTACTGCGTCTATTGATCTGCCATTCTTATCTAGCTAGCACCCTTTTCCTAATAACAGCGTTGCTCACTCGGTTGTCCCACAGTGTACGAGCACTGCTTCGAAGACACCTATGATCGAAAACCAGTAACCTACGAATATCTTCTACTCTCATTGGCCATGTTTCACAGCCATAAGGTAAGACGGAGCGAACCACTGCACAGTAAACTCGTCCTTTAGTCAGCAGAAGAATATCTCGCCTACGCCATAAGTGACGCAGGTTGACAAAAGCCAATCGAGCCTTCTGTATCCGAGCTGAGATTTTGTCAGTCACCAGGCCATCAGCACTGATGAGACTCCCAAGATAAGTGAAGCGGTCTACACGTTCGACCACTTCACTCCCTATCACTAGTTCAGGTGCCGATGAAACCCAATCTTGAAGCAACATTTTGCATTTCGAGGGGGAAAACCGCATCCCAAACATGCTTGCATTGTTGCTTAGGGTAGTCAGAAGACTTCGCATTTTGTCAGCGTCTTCACGAAGTAGGACTATGTCATCGGCATATTCTAAGTCAATAAGCAAGCCACCTGGTAAAAGGTCTACTTCTAAAAATTCAGACGAGGATTTTCAGATGTTACTTAAACACGTACATGATTATCAATCAATCAACCAATCAGTCAATGAATCAAGGGAAATACATCTGTATCTTTGAAAGAGAAATATTGAACAACATTCAATCGTCCCTACACACACACACAGACAAACACTCACAGGAATAAAGAAAAAAAACTTGTCAGACAACTTTATATTTCAATAAATTAATTAATACATATACATTGATATTTTTAAAATCATTATTACAAAAGATATCTACACATATATATATCAATCAAATGAGATAAAAATCATTATCAACCTTTTGTTGAAAAATTAGTCAAGCGAAACAACAACGAAATACCACCGCGTACATCCACGTGCAAATCAGTTAATTTTCTTTGTTTATATTCGTTGTTTCTGTTCATAAGTTTTATTGAACATTGATTGAATAGTTCTTTTTGTAATATTTGTTTATTCTTGAATTAATTTCAATCGTTCACCGTTACTCAATTGAAGACTGGGACCATGACGTAAGAAAAATGCATATCGTCCTTGAGCATTTAATAAATCAGTGATTAGGATAACCTTAAAGTGTTTGTATTTTTTCGGAAAAAAATGAAGAAACAATTAGAATGGAAAAACAAATTGACAATAAAATGGCGGGAAATATAAAAAAAATGACATTTAAAAAATGCTGCGCTGCTCAAGGTCAGATGGAAATGTCGACTGCGTGTATTCAGTCAGTCAGTCAGTCAGATGCAACGTAGAACTTCGTGCGTAAGCACATCAGTTCATTTTGCCTTACCACATCAGCACAGAGACATAATTGTCAATTCAGGAATGACGTTTCGTGAACTCGCATCGTTTGCATCAGCGGTGCAGTGAGAAAACGGACTGTGAGTAGAGTTCGTTGTGGAGAGAAGAGAGGGACTAGGGGGTGTAGGAAGGATTTGATTTCGACCAATTCGGTCTCGTGTGCTGTTACGGGTATGAAGGCGGTTGTCACTTCCCGGCTGCCCACACCATGGAAGGTTGTTTCTTGAAGAACCTGAAAAGGAAGATAGATTAGTGTTGGTCTTAGAGACCTGGGAGCGTGACCGCAGAGTCCAAGGGACAACTGCTTGAGTCCGGTCACGCACGGCCTTTTTATGGAAGGTTTTTTGAGTATTAGCTCCGCTCTTGAAAGCCCTTAGAGGGCAGCCCTTACCGCCGTAGACGGAAATCCGTGAGGTAGGGTGAGGTGTGACATTTTTAGCGTCGACCTTTTCTAACCCTCCCTTCCTTGTGAGAAGGCAGTATCGCTGCAGATGCTGGTTGTTGTCTGAGAGAAACACCTTACTGCTGTCACACCCCTCTACAGCCAGTCAGCAGTTCGACTTCGCCCTCAGACCTTGAGTAACTAGCTGCTTTTAGTCTCATCGTTCTCCAATCGACCTGCCTGGCATGGTAGAACCTTCCGGAACATATGTTCCAGCCAATATAGCTCGGTTGGGTCATTACGATAGGTAAGCCCGATCACCACATCACGGTAGCAGCTACGGTCGGGACGTGTATTCAGTTGTGTTAGTGCTGCTGATCAATGAATTTTGAATTAGTTCGAGTCGATGGTTAATGTGTTTGTCGAGTTCTAATGCGTAACATTAACACTAGAAGATCCAGATAGGTCCATATACGCGTGTTGATTTCTACAACTAGTGCTAATCTATATAGCCCGTAGACAAGCTTAGTGTTATGCCTGCATGTAAACACGTGAACTTGATATACTCGAACTATTACGAGTTTACCTAGTCGGAAAAACGAGAGCGAGGATCCGGCCACACGGCATGCTACTCAAATCCGATTATCCCAATCCCCATATTGAGTAAAAATAACAAGACTTGATATGAAGTAGAACCTGTATTCTACAAGCATCCAGGAAGTACGAGGTCCGAGTCCAGGTCCTGGTCATAAAACGTTACACATAATGCGTATTTATACATTTTGGTCGAATAGGAAACAGCATCGACGTCTGTAGCATTGACAGTTAAGACGACCAATAAGAACTGACATTTCAAATGACATTGACAGTCCGGATGACCAATAAGAGACAACATTGAAGTATTTGACTTTGACAGTTAAAACGACCATAATTTTGACCAACAATTAATTCTCTTAGGATATTGGATGAATGTCCTAACACTTAGTAAGGGTCGATTTTCGATCAGATAAGATTTCATTATATTGACTTTTTCAACTTGCGCGCCAGCTGAAATGCCAGAGCATAGGTTAGTATTTTTTTGCACTGACTTTCTTGTTATCTTTGTGTCAGTTCTACACTGTCATGAAGTATGTGCATATCAATGAAGTGTTCTATCGTACACAGTTAGTCAGTCAGTCAGTCAGTCAGTTCAGTTACAGCGTAGAACTCCATGTACGTACGTACGTACGTACGTACATCAGAGCAAGTTTCCATATCAAAACCTTTGGTCGCATGTATATTAGGCTGGCAAAGGTTGAAAGGAAATACTAAAACTAGCTTTCGTGATAGTTGACACTTGTAAACAGCATGAACTTGCGGTTTTAAGAAAATCAAAGGTCCTTGTGAGATTCGAACTAGGACCGGACTAACTTACTGTAAGAAATGAGATATTGACACTTTCGCTTGAGTACTGAATAGTGCTGTCAGTGATACATATTTTTTTAGTTCACAATCGAGGTGATGGAATTTCATCGACCCGACCGCAGCGTCTACCTATGATGTGAGGTTGTCAGGCTTACCTATCGTGATGACCCCACCGAGCTCTATTGGCTGCAATATATGTTCCTGTAGGTCCTACTATCCCAAGCAGAGAGATTGGAGAGCGGTAACACTAAAAGCAGTAGCTTAATGACTGAGAGCGAAGTCGTACTGATGACTGTAGATATCAGTAAGGTGGTTTTCCTCAGACAAGCAACATCTGCAGAAGCAATGGGTTGTAAAAGGTCGACCCGAAAATGTTACACTTTAACGGTAAGGCCACTTTGAAGAGCGGAGTTAACATTTAACAAAGTTCCTATAAAAAGACCGTACGTGACGGACCTGAAGCAGTTGTCCCTTAGACTCTGCAGTTGCGCTGCCAGGTCGCTCAGACCAACGTTAATCCGATTTCCTTTTCAGGTTCCTCTAGAAGAAATACCGTGAAGTGACATCCAACCTCATACTCTTAACAGCATACAACACCGATTCGGTTGCTGAATGACTGGCTGATTAAATTGCCAAACAGCTGCTATTCAGACGGACTGACGCAACTTGCACCTAAACGGTCACCTATGTATGTATACAACAACTTGAGTAAGTAAAAATTTGACATGATGTATATGATTGGGTTTTGTTTTTATTTATTCTTTCACAACCTACCTGTCCAAATGCATGTACTAACGAGGCGGCAAAATAGAAATTTGCATTTCCTGTACCCGGTTGTAACCAAATATAATGAAATAATGGACTAAGGATCAATGCAGTCAGTAGGCATGATGATGAAATAAATAACAATTGAGTTTCTATAAGAAAAAGAGAAAGAAAAAATTGGGTGAGAAACGTAAAAAGGGAGAACAAATGAGTGACAGCAATACTTACTTACTTACTTGCTTATGCCTGTTACCCCCAATATAGAGGAGCATAGGCCGCCAACCAGTTTTCTCCAACCAACTCTGAAATTCGGCTTCCGTCTCCAGTTCTGTCCAATGTTTGTTCATTCCTCTCATATCTTTCTCTATTTCTCGGCATGTAATGTGTTCCTTGGTCTTCCTCTTTTCCTTTTGCCTTGAGGGTTCCATGTATGGGCTTGTCTTGTGACGCAGTTTGGTGCTTTCCGTAGTGTGTCCTATCCACCAACTCCATCGCTTCTTCCTGATTTCCTCGTCTGCTGGAATCTTGTTTCTTCTCTCCCACAGTACGTTGCTGCTGATCGTGTCTGGCCAACGAATACGAAGTATTTTGCGTGGACAACTGTTCATAAACACTTGTATCTTCTGGATGATGGCTTTGGTAGTTCTCCATGTTTCTGCTCCATACAGTAGAACTGTCTTGACATTTGTATTGAAAATCCTGATTTTGGTGTTGATTGATGTTTGTTTGCAGTTCCAGATATTTTTCAATTGTAGAAATGTAGCCCTTGCTTTGCCAATCCGCGCCCTCACATCTGCATCGGATCCACCTTTCTCGTCGATGATGCTTCCAAGATATGTAAAGGTGTCAACATCCTCCAAAGCATCTCCATTAAGAGTGATTTCGTTGACGCATGTTGAGTTGTATCGTAGAATCTTACTTTTCCATTGATGTATGTTGAGACCTACAGCTGCAGAGGCTGCTGCTACACTGGTCGTCTGAGTGACCGGAATAGCGATGACTAAAGATAATACAAGTTAAGATTGGAACTCATTAAAACAAAACTTATCAGAAATCTTGCAGGAATTGATTTCACTACTTGTAGTCAGTCAGTCAGTTAGTTACAACGTAAGTACATCAGTTCAGGTTGCCATAACGCATTAGTACATAGAGACGCAATAGTCAGTTCAAATCCCGTAGTAGTGAGGTAGTAAAAGCATTAGCAGTAATCAGGTTAGAAGATATTATTCCAGAAGTATAATTCAGTGAGATAAGTTTAGAAAAAGGAAGGTAGAGGTGCTGATGAATTCAGAAGGTTAGAATTTTATAGAACACAAAGAGTAGATGCACCTGCGCCATACCAAACGATTTTTAGCCATGTCATTCAGGGTCGCTAACCATCGGTTACCATGGTCTTACGGACCCTATCTACCAACATGACTATTTGTAGGATTCAAACCCATACAACGCAATTTCTGAGTCTAAGGGAAACATGGATATTAAGGCTTCATGTACGTCTGCTTTATTGAAGAACGTCAACTAGTATGTATTCTAGGTCAAGCACCAGATGGTCTGAACACCTCAAACTAGTAATCGGTTAGTATTTAAAGACTGGACGACTATGACATTCTTTTATTGAAACCATGAATCCATCAATGTTAGACCACTATTACAAACCTGGAAGCACTGAACGGCCGTTTCCGCCTAGTATGGGACTCATCAGCCTGGATGCGCAGTGTTGATGAGTTTCCATACTAGGACTAAAAAGTTGTTCAGTACTTCCACGTTCCTAATGGTTAGTTGTCTAACACACACATTGATCAATTCATGATTTCAATAAAAAGTAATTCTGGGGCACAGTTTTGGAGGTTTGCATTTTTACACATTTGAAATCATCATCATCACTAGTGACTAGCTTCGTGAGGAAATTCTCGGAGTTCTAGTTGAGAAGGCGTGACCAGTGGAGTTCAACCCTGTCCGGTGTAGGCAGTAACTACCAAAGACAAACGGGTGAGGTTGCGCAAAAATCTTTAGATCAATCAGAGTTAGACATTAACACCGATGGATGCCGACTCAGTGGTCCGATGGTAAGGCGTTCGCCTACAGTGCCAAAGGTCCCGGGTTCGAATCCTGCGAGGAGCAGGAGTCGTGGATGCGCATTGCTGAGGAGTCCCATACTAGGACGAAACGGCCGTCCAGTGCTTCCAGGTTTCTAATGGTGATCTAACAATGATTGGTTTATGATTTCAAATGTGTAAAAAAGTAATTCAACATTCTTCACAACTTTACAGTGCAGACTATGACATTAAAAACAACCGATTAGGGAACAATCAATTTTAACTAACGTGAATCAATGAACATTAACAAAAATCGCAGGATAAAAATTCCTAAGTCAGTTGTCTAAACATATCAATTTACGCTATAGAGAGAGTGACACCACAACACAACTACTGGACAACCACTGAAAATTATTGGCCATTAAACAATGAGCAGCTCACATTGACTATTGTATCTATCTAACCCCATAGTAAAAATAATTCCCGGTTCTTTAGGCTGCAACTAGATAGCAACCAAGTAAAAATGAATGTGTTTGATTATCAACAGCACTTGGTTGTCTAAAATCGGAACAGATGAAAAAGAATTCTATCACGATCATCAAATGGCTGAAAGTTGAGCCACCTTTCAGTCAGTCAGACGCAACGTGGAACTTTGTACATAAGTACATCAGTTCATGTTGCCATACCACATTAACACACAGAGATGTAATTGTCAATTCAAATCCAATAGTAGAAGAGGTAGTAAAGGTATTAGAAGTAGTCGGATACGTTAGGATTAGAAGATATTATTCAAGAAGTATGATTCAGTGAGAGAAGTTTAGAAAGTCAAAACTAGAGTTGTTGAAGAATCCAGAAGATTAGGATTTGAGAGAACACAAAGAGTGGATACACCTGCGCCATTGCAAACGATTCTGAGCCATGTCGTTCAAGGTCTCTAACCATCGATTATTATCATCTCACGGACCCCAACCAAGTAGTCGACAACTACCACCGACATGACTCAGTCCACTTGTCAATGACGGCATGAATTTCTGCCATGTTTTGGTTTGACCGCCCCTAAATTTCTTCCAACCCACTCCCCCTACACTACAAAACAAAGCTCGTCGAGGCAGTTGGTGGTTAGGCATACGCAGCACATGTCCCAACCACCACAACTGATGAAGTTTCATTACTTCATCTATTGATCTGCCATTCTTAATCTACCTAGCACCCTTTTCCTAATAACAGCGTTGTTCACTCAGATGAGGCTACACTTGTAGTGACAGAGAGAGATATGGGAATAATACACACAGAGCTAAGCAAAACTTCAAATTCACAACAAAACGTAGTAGCAACAGCAAAAAATAAATAACTCAAGGTCGATTATTATTTCATACAGTAAACAACATGAAGTGTGTTAATAATGATTGAAAGTGTATTATGTAAGGTTTTTGATGATGATTGATAACTTACGTTTTAAAAGATGACTCCATATTGGTAGGATGGATATTAATAGGCCAAATTCACCGATATTATGATACGGTTGTAATATATTGATTATAAATGATATGACAAGGCATATATATAATGGATTTTGACTAAATAGTAGTAGTAGTAGTAGTAGTAGTAGTAGTAGTAGTAGTAGTAGTCGGAGTAGTAGTAGTAGTAGTAGTCGGAGTAGTAGTAGTCGGAGTAGTAGTAGTCGGAGTAGTAGTAGTAGTAGTAGTAGTAGTAGTCGGAGTAGTAGTAGTAGTAGTAGTCGGAGTAGTAGTAGTAGTAGTAGTCGGAGTAGTAGTAGTAGTAGTCGGAGTAGTAGTAGTAGTAGTAGTCGGAGTAGTAGTAGTCGGAGTAGTAGTAGTCGGAGTAGTAGTAGTAGTAGTAGTAGTAGTAGTCGGAGTAGTAGTAGTAGTAGTAGTCGGAGTAGTAGTAGTAGTAGTAGTCGGAGTAGTAGTAGTAGTAGTAGTAGTCGGAGTAGTAGTAGTAGTAGTAGTCGGAGTAGTAGTAGTAGTAGTAGTCGGAGTAGTAGTAGTAGTAGTAGTAGTAGTAGTAGTAGTCGGAGTAGTAGTAGTAGTAGTAGTCGGAGTAGTAGTAGTCGGAGTAGTAGTAGTCGGAGTAGTAGTAGTAGTAGTAGTAGTAGTAGTCGGAGTAGTAGTAGTAGTAGTAGTCGGAGTAGTAGTAGTAGTAGTAGTCGGAGTAGTAGTAGTAGTAGTAGTAGTAGTCGGAGTAGTAGTAGTAGTAGTAGTCGGAGTAGTAGTAGTAGTAGTAGTAGTCGGAGTAGTAGTAGTAGTAGTAGTAGTCGGAGTAGTAGTAGTAGTAGTAGTAGTAGTAGTCGGAGTAGTAGTAGTAGTAGTAGTCGGAGTAGTAGTAGTAGTAGTAGTCGGAGTAGTAGTAGTAGTAGTAGTCGGAGTAGTCGGAGTAGTAGTAGTAGTAGTAGTCGGAGTAGTAGTAGTAGTAGTCGGAGTAGTAGTAGTAGTAGTAGTAGTAGTAGTAGAAATGTACGAAAAAAATGAGACAAGGTAAATATGATTAATGATAAACAAAGACTGATTTTACAAATCACATCATTACAACACATCATTAGAATGTTCAAAAGAAATATGGAGGATGTGAGAATTGACAAAAAAAGTGGCTGGTCGAGCTTCAGATCACTATATGTTAGGATATTGATCCAATTGTTTTAAGTCTAATCCTATTGGTCGTCTTAATTATCATTGTCACTTAAAACGGTGTTTCCGGTTGGTAGTCTTAACTGTCAATGTCACATACTTCAATGTTGTTTCCTATTCGAACTAAATGTATAAATACGTATTATGTGTAACGTTTTATCAGCCGAACCCGGATCTTTAGTACGGGATCCTGATTTTCTTGTGAACTCGGACCTCGTACTTTTTGGATGCTTGTAGAATACATGTTCTACTTCATATCAGGTCTTCTTCGTTTACTCAATAGTGGGGTTGGGATGTTTGGATTAGAGTAGCCTGTCGTGTCACCGGATCATCGATCCTCGCTATCGTTCATCAACTAGAATGAACTCGTAATAGTTCAAGCATATCAAATTGACATGTTTACGTGTATGCGTAACACTATCACTCAGCGATATTCAAGTCAGTCAGACAGTCAGTTACAACATCGAATTTCGTACATGAGTAAATAAGTTCAGCTTGCCGTACCTCAATAGTACAAACACATAACTGTCAGTTCAAATCACCTAGTGGTAGAGATAGTAGAAGTATTAGCGCTAATCGAGAAGATTGGTATAATTCAGTGAGACAAATCTATGAAGAGAAAGATAGAGACGACGAAGAATTCAGAAGACTACAATTTGAAAGAACACAATGAATGAATGCACCTGCACTACTGCAAACGATTCTGAGCTATGTCATTCAAGGTCTCTAACCATCGGTGACTTTTGTCTCGCGGACCCTAAACAAGTAGTTTACATCTACCAACATGACTCAGTCCACTTGTTTGTGACTGTCATGTTTTGGTTTGGCCGCCTCCAGCTTACTTTCATGATTATACTGAAATTAAAGAAGCATTGGAAAAACGGGTGAACAGCATTACAAAAGTTTGATATGACTGTTCTTTGGGATGTGCTGACAAACTCGATAAATTCAAGATAGTTTTCAGCAATTAGTTAAAGACCATACAAGGCATACTCAAAGAAGAGACATCTACCATGGAGATTAACTGGGAAGAGACTAAAGAAGCAATCAACTTCAGTATGACAGGTCTTGGGGTGCAAAAAGCCACATTGTACAGAATGGATTTCTGTTGATAATCTCGATAAGATTCAAGAAAAGAAGAACTGGAATACAGTCGAACAAGAGCTGAGAAAGTTACGGCGCAGACCGAGTACACAGAGGCAAACAAACGAACAGGAGCATTAGAAATGATAAACGGAAAAATATCGAGCATCTAGCAATGATAGCAGAAAAAGCTACAAGAGAAGGAAATATGAGACAACTATATGCGATAGGACGAAGTCAGCTATGAAATATAGTAGACAAGAGCGACCAGTAGTCAAGAGTAAGGAAGGAAAATGAACTAATGCTATCCACGATTAGTATAGGTGGGTAGAGCATTTGAATAGACTAGTTCCACTGAACCCACAGGACATCAAAGTAGCAGCTACAGACCTTTCCATCGATGTTATCACAACAACAGTCGGAGAAGTCAGCATCGCCATCAGACGATTCAAGAGCGGTAAAGAAGCAGAACCAGACAATATAACAGCCGAGGCATTGAAGTCAGACATAACAGTGACTGCAGAGATATTGCTTACTCTCACCCTTTCATTCTCTTCTGGTGATTGATTGGATTATAAAGACCTCAATATCTCAGCGGAAGCACCAAATTCAGCAGATAGCTTGGATGAAGCTACACGATTTGAACTTTACAGATGATCTAGCTATTCTATCCCACACACAACAACAAATACAAGAGAAAACGACCAGTGTAGCAGCAGCCTTTGCATTAGTAGGTCTCAACATACACAACGGAAATGCCAAGACCCTTAAACTACAACACGAAAAGTGCCAACCGTATCACGGAAAAGCATTGGGATATGGGGAATAGGACACACAGCGGAAATCATCCAATTGCGCATCACAAGGCAAACCCTAACTTAGAATCCTCAGGGAGAAAGGAAGAGAAGAAGATCAAAGAACACATTGCACCGGAAGTCGGAGGCACATTTGAAAAGCATGAACAGCACTTAGGAGCAACAGGAAGGGAGAGCCCGTATAGAGTTGGTTCGAGAATCCCGGTCTACGATTTATGTCCCACGATGGGTATCAACATGTCTTTATTCTAATCTTCACCCGTTACTTACACTGAATAACTGTCTCACACCCAACACAAATTGAAAACTCTGCCAGTCACGTATTCTCATTAAAACTGTTAGGGAGAGTCACCAGATGTTCCATGCTTTCAAGGTTTTCAATGATGGTCTATAACTAAGATCAGTTTTCTGACTTCAGCAGTGAAAACAAACGTTGTCAATATAAACAGAATTTCATTAACCAGTAAACAAAGATTAAATTATGCGCTAAAGTAAATCAAATCAACCAAATATTATTAATCACTTACTTGAATTTAATTGTTAAGCCAACTACTGCACTAAAAATAAGTAGTTGAAAAACCCATGTGAAAAATTCACCGAAATGATCAAACATTTCAACAAATATATACCAATAAATACCCATTTGTGGTGTACAATCAGCGACAGTGATTCTACAAAGAAAAATAGAATATAAGCCAAGCGTAAAAAATTTACACATTTAAAATCATCAATCAATCACCACTAGACCACCATCCCGACCGTGGTCGGGCTTGCCTATCGTCGTCACCCAATCGAGCTATATTGGCTGGAACATATGTTCCGGAAGGTTCTACCATGCCAGGCAGGTGGATTGCAGAACGATGGGACTAAAAGCAGCTACTCAAGGTCTGAGGGCGAAGTCGTACTGCTGACTGTGGAGGGGTGTGACAGCAGTAAGGTATTTCTCTCGGATAACCAACATCTGCAGCAACGCTGCCTTCTCACAAGGAAGGAAGGGTTAGAAAAGGTCGGCCCTAAAAATTTCACACCTTACCCTACGTCACGGATTTCCGTCTCCGGCGGTAAGGGATGCCCTCTAAGGGCTTTCAAGAGCGGAGCTAATACTCAAAAAACCTTTCATCAAAAGGCCGTGCGTGACCGGCATGAAGCAGTTGTCCCTTGGACTCTGCGGTCACGCTCCCAGGTCTCCAAGACCAACACCAATCTATCTTCCTTTTCAGGTCCCTCAAGAAACAACCTTCCATGGTATGGACAGCCGGGAAGTGATAACCGCCTTCATACCCGTAACAGCACACGAGACCAAATTGGTCGAAATCAAATCCTTCCTACACCCACACATACCTCTCTTCTCTCCACAACGAACTCTACTCACAGTTCGTTTTCCAACTGCACCGCTGATGCAAACGATGCGAGTTCACGAAACGTCATTTCTGGTCTCCTGAAACCCCGCTCTAGACTACATGTTGGAGCATTTAATGTACGGACATTGTGTCAAATAGGGCAACAGGCATTATTAGCTAGGACTTTAGAATCTCGCGCCATCGAGGTGTGCTGCGTCTCGGAAACGCGCATACAGGATCCGAGTAGCATCATTCACTTGACCTCGCCATGTCAAGATAAAGAAGCAACGCGATTTACCCTTCGTGTATCCGGTAGCCCTGATGCTCCTTTCCGGCGTCTCGTTGGTGTAGGTACAGCATTGAGTCGTAGAGCTGAACAATCTCTCCTAGACTGGATCCCAGTAGATAGTCGCACGTGCGCTGTCCAACTAAACGGGACAGTAAGGTTCGTGAGCTATAGCATAAACAAGTTTACAACAACACGCTCAGATGCTATCGTTAGGATATTCATCCGATATCCTAAGAGAATTATTACTGGTCAATTCCTATTGGTTTATTCCTACTGGTCAATTTTATGGTTGTCCTAGATATCAATGTCAAGTGCTCCAATATTGTTTCTTATTGGTTGCCCTGACTATCAATGTCACTTCAAATATTGCTTCCTATTAGTCGTCTTAACTGTCAATGTCACAGAATTCGATGCTGTTTCCTAGTCAACCGAACTGTATAAATACGCATATCTGTAACGTTTTATGACCACGACTAGGACCAGGACCCGGTCTCGGATCCCTAGTCCGGGATCCTGATTCTCTTCTGGACTCGGACCTCGTACTTTCTGGATGCTTGTAGAATACTTGTTCTACTTCATATCAAGTCTTCTCCTTTTACTTAATGGGGTGTTTGGGACATTCGGATTAGAGTAGCATGTCGTGTCGCCGGATCCTCGATCCTCGCTCTCGTTTTCCGACTACGGAAAACTCGTAATAGTTCAAGCATATCAAGTTGACGTGTTTACGTGCAGGCGTAACAGCTGTAGAATACGTTAGGTACTTCAATGATTGCTAATACTTTTTAACTGCTTATCGACCTCACAAATCTCTTATACTTGAATATTGAGCAAAAGGATTTAGACAGAAAGTATGTAAAGGGACTTCGCTTCCAATGTTAGTTTAGGCACAGAAAACAAGGTTATATTTTAGGTTTATGTGTGACCATAATATTCTAGAAGCTTGTAAGAACATGCTAAAATCAGTAATAAGATGAATAATTGTTCAGTTGTCAGTTTTTAAAACTCTCTGCAAAGTTCTCACATAAAAATAATGATTAGTCGAAATATTTTCACCCTTCTTCTGAATGATGACGAAATTCTCGACAGCGTCAGTACAGTATTTTGTGAAGAATACGGTAAGAAAAACAGAGAACGCATTTTGTAACAAACAGTCTTCGGTATAATTTAATTCGTGACTAACAGCAGCATTAGGATGTGAGTTCTTTATTTGTCCCGAAATGCATTCACTCAAGATAGACGGACATATGTCAATAGAGACTGACAAGCAAAATACATGACTAAATGTCAAAAACACGACGACAGTAATAAAACGGATTCAAATCTGTTACGCCTGCATGTAAACACGTCAACTTGATATACTTGAACTATTGCGAGTTTACCTAGTCGGAAAACGAGAGCGAGGATCGAGGATCCAGCGACACGACATGCTACACAAATCCGATTATCCCAACCCCCATATTGAGTAAAAATAACATGTATTCTACAAGCGTCCAGAAAGTACGAGGTCCGAGTTCAGAAGAGAATCACGATCCCGGACTAGGGATCTAGGACCGGGTCCTGGTCATAAAACGTTACACATAATGCGTTTATATACATTTTGGTCGAATAGGAAACAGCATCGACGTCTGTGACATTGACAGTTAAGACGACTAATAAGAAGCAACATTTGAAGTGACATTGATAGTCAGGACAACCAATAAGAAATAACATTGGAGCACGTGACATTGATATCTATGACGACCGTAAAATTGACCAGTAGGAATTAACCAATAGGAATTGACCAATAATTCTCTCAGGACATTGGATGAATATCTTAACAAAATCATAGTCAGTCAGTCAGTCAGCTACAATGGAGAACTTCGTACGCACCTGCATCAGTTCAGGTTACCACAGCACATCAGTACAGAGATGTAATTGTCAATTCAAATCCTACAGTAGTCTAAGAAGTGTTCAGCAAGAATAGAGTTCGAAGATATTCCAGTAAAATAAACTTAATAAGAGAAAGATAATAGTGACAACGAATTCAGAAGATTAGGATTTGAGAGAAGACCAAGAATGGGTACACCTGCGCTATTGCAAACTATTTTGAACTATGTCATTCAGTCTCTAACCCCCTAAATTGACTGTCTCGCAAACCCCAACCAGGTAGTCTGCACCTTCAAACATGGCTCAGCCCACTTGTTAGTGACTTCATGCATTTATGCAGTGTTTTAGTTTGGCCGCTCCTAGCTTTCTTCTAACCCACCGCTTCACCATAAAACATTGCTCGTCGAGACAATCAGTGGCTGGGTATTCGTAACACATATCCTAACCACCACAACTGATGAAGTTTCAATACTTCATCTATTGATCAGTCATCCATCCCTAACAACAACAGCATTGTCTCATCGGTGGTCCCAGGATGCAGTACGAGCCACACTTAGGACAAGTTCAAATCATCAAACAATTCAATCAACTTACGTATTCCAATAAACTGATGATAAAAAACGCCAATCATGATTTTCTACAAGATAACTAATCCATAATAAACTTGCACTACTACCAATAAAAGTAATCAATGGTAGAAGCAAAGTGAACAGACGAGATAGGATTGATTTTGATTGATTTGTACATTGCTGTTGAGAAATAAATAATAAAGGATGCATACATACATGTATATATCATCAGTGAATTAACTGTGTAAATGACATAAAAACGACTTACCTTTTTGGCATAAGTAAGTGATTTGCATATAACGAGAAGGGTATGCAAAAAAAAAACCCGACATTCATGTTTCAAATGTATAAAACTATGTCTTGTTTTTACAAACAAAAAAAATCATACATAATATTCTCTATACGCACACAATACGTACACAATCATACATAAATGTAATGTACACGAGTACTTAAATTACTTGTAAATTAACAATTTGTACAACTTAGTTTTTTTTTCTGCTTTGTAGTTAGTGAAGTACTACTACACACCGATTGATATATTTTAGCCAGAACACAATAATATGTGTGTTAAAGTGCAATATTGAATAGTTTTAGTGAAACTAAGTCACACAGTTAATTTATGTGTATTGGAGATTTGACAAAATCAAACTATAACAAAAAAATCAGTCAGTCAACTTGTAGTGGACGAGAAAACACGTGAGGGCAACCGAATTGTATTTACCCGAAAATTACAGAGTTACTCAGTAAAATTGGAAAACCATATCGTAAATCGTTTTAATTTGCAAAATATCAGTTCATCATATCGAACTGGACTGTTCCTGTTGCAAAACATCAATCCATTGTCACTCACTATTCATGCGTTTCATACAAATTCCATTGTGTTCTTCTAACTCTTCCTTTCTTGATCTTCCCCCATCTTCTGCTGTCACCAGACATTACGTTGACACTCACGTCATATACTACTTATAAGTAGCTCGCACCACAAGTCAGTCAATTACAACGTAGGCCGCCATACTGCATTAGCACAGAGATGCAACTGTCAGTTCAAATCACATAGTGGTGGAGATAGTAGAAGAATTACTGGTAATGGGGACGATAAGGGATCGATGATATTATTCAAGAAGTGTAGTTCAGTCAGATAACTTTACAAAGGGAAAGATAGAGATGAGAAATCGTGGAGATTAGAATTTGAGAGAACACAAAGAGTAGATGCACCTGCACCACTGCAAACGATTTTGAGCCATGTCGTTCACCGTCTCTAACCATTGGTGACTTTCATCTCGCGGACCCAAACCAGGTAGCCTGCACCTACCAACATGACTCAGTCCACCTGTCAATGACTTCATGGATTTGTGCCATGTTTTGGTCTGGCCGCCCCTAACTTTCTTTCAACCTACTTCTACAGCACAAAACAAATGCTCTGGACGAGGCAGTCGATGGTTAGGCATACGTAACACATATCCCAACCACCTCAAATGATGAAGTTTCACTACTTCATCAATTGATCTGTCATCCCTGCCTAGTAATCGTTTCCTGAAGATTACATTGCTTACTCGGTTCTCCCAGGATATACGAACAATGCTTCGTAAACATCTATAATCGAATACTAATAAACCTACGAATGTCTTCCACCCTTTAACGGCCATGTTTCACAGACATAAAGTAGGACAGAGCGACCTGCTGCGTAGTACACTCGTCCTTTAGTCAGCAAACGGATATCTCGTCTACGCCATAAGTGACGCTAACTGGCAAAAGCCAAACGAGCATTCTGTATCCCTGCTGAGATTTCGTCAGTCACCAGGCCATCAGCACTGATGAGAATCTCGAGACAGGAGAAGTGGTCGACACGTTCGACTACTTCGCTCCCTATCACTAAAAAAATATAGAGAACTACAAGAACTACAGAACAGTCAGTCAGCTGCAACATAGATTTTCGTGCATAAGTACGTACATCAAAGTTCACGTTACCATTCAAGGGTAGTAAAAAGATGCTTTTTTCGATTCAAATCCTAAAGTGGTAGAGGGAGTTGAAGTATAAGCAGAAATTGGAAAGATCACGGTCTAAATATATTATTTACGAAGTATAATCCAACGAAATACATTTGAGAAGAGAAAGATAAAGGTCATAAGGAGTGCAGATTAGAATTCGGGAGAACATAATGAGTGGATGCATCTGCGCCATTTGTAAATGAGGTTTTTGAGCCATGTCATTCAAAGTCTTTTAACCATCGGCTACTCATCATCATCATCATCAGCAACGTAGAACTTTGCACGTAAGTACATCAGTTCAAGTTGCCATACCACAGTAGCACAGAGATATAATTGTCAATTCAAATCCCATTGTAGTAGAGGTAGTAAAAGTATTAGAAATAATCGGAGAGATTAGGGTTCGAAGATGTTATTCAAGAAGTATAATTCAGTGAGGTAAATTTAGAAAGAGAAAGATAGAGGTGATCAGGAATTCTGAAGGTTATGACATAAGAGAGCACAAAGAATGTATGCACCTGCGCCATTTACAAACGATTTTCAGCCATGTCACTCAGAGTCTCTAACCACCAATTATTATCATCTTGCGGATCACAACCAGGTAGTCGACACCTATTGATATGACTAAGTCAACTTGTCAGTGACTTCATGGAGACGTGCCATATTTTGGCCTGTCCGCCCCTAACATTCGTCCAAGCTATTCCTATATCGCAAAACATAGCTCGACGAGGCAGTCAGTAGTTAGGCATACGCAGCACATGTCCCAACCACCTCAACTGATGAAGTTTCAGCACTTCATCTATTGATCTTCCATCCTTACCTAGAACCCGTTTCCTAACAACAGAAATGCTTGCTCAGATGTCCCACGATACTCCAGAAATACTTCGGAGACAACTATGATCGAAAACTAGTAACCTATGAATATCTTCTACTCTCACTGGCCATGTTTCACAACCATAAAGTAGGACGGAGCGAAGTACTACGCAGTACACTCGTCCTTTAATTAGCAAAAAGGATATCTCGCCTACCCCATAATAAGTGACGCAAGTTGTCTCGCCGACCTCTAACAACAACAACAACCATAGAACATAATTCTCTCTCTACCTTACCTGAATCGATTAATTCAATCCATTGAAATGTGAATAATCATTCATAATTGTGTAAACAAACCGTTAAACAGACATCATAAAAACTAATTACTTGCCAAGAATGATAAAACGTTGCCAAAAAAAAACACATGAAAACATAATTCAATGCAAAATATACAAATAAAGGAATAATGAAAAGAATCAAATCATTCACGAAAGTGCTATTCAATAGTAATCGATTAGCATGACAGTTTCTAATGCAAGTGGTCTAACATTGATCGATTCATGGTTTCAAAAATGTGTAACTTAACAATCTTCACAACAACCCCGTAATGCAAATTACCTGTGCTCACTAGTGAGTGACTAACTTCGTGAGGAATCTTCTCCGAGTTCTAGTGGGAAGACGTGACCAGTGAAGTCCAACCTGTTCGAGTGTAGACAGTAACTACTACCTAAGACTGTGTATGAGGTTGCGCAACTCCGTGAATTTGATCAAGTTAGACATTAACACCGTTAGATACCGGCTCAGTGGTCTGATGGGTTAGGGCGTTCGCGCACAATACCGAAGGTCCTGGGTTCGAATCCTGCGGGGTGCAGGAGTCGTGGATGCGCACTGCTGAGGAGCAGTCCCATACCAGGACGAAACGGCCGTCTTTCAGTGCTTCCAGGTTTGTCTAATGGTGGTCTAACATTGATCGGTTCATGGTTTCGAAAATGTGTAGTTTACACAATGCAAATGTTAAAAATAAGAATAAAATAAAATTACTATCAATCAACTCATATCAAAATTAGAAATGATACAAAAGATGGACGATAGTAACAGATGGTCAGGAACTTTGAATGGCAAAGCTCAAGAACGGTTTCCATGGCACAGGTGCCGTCATTCTTTGTGTTCTCTCAAATTCTAATCTTCTGAATGGATCTTCACTTTCATCTTTCTCTTCTCAAATTTATTTTACTGTATTATTGTTACATGCCTGCACGTAAACACGTCAGTTTGATATGCTTGAACTATTACGAGTTTAACGTAGTCGGAAAACGAGAGCGAGGATCGAGGATCCGGCGACATGACATGCTACTCAAATCCAATTATCCCAAACGCTATATTGAGTAAAAATAAGAAGACTTGATATGAAGTAGAACACGTATTCTACAAGCATCCAGAAAGTACGAGGTTCGAGTCCAGAAGAGAGTCAGGTTCCCGGACTAGGGATCCAGGACCGGGTCCCGGTCATAAAACGTTACAGATAATGCGTATTTATATATTTTGGTCGAATAGGAAACAGCATCGAAGTCTGTGACATTGACAGTCAAGGTGACCAATAAGAAGCAACATTTGAAGTGACATTGATATCTAGGACGACCATAAAATTGGCCAGCAGGAATTAACCAATAGGAATTGACCAATAATTCTCTTGGGATATTGGATGAATATCCTAATAATTATACCCCTTGAATAAAAGTTTTAAACCCTAATCTTTCTAATTACTGCTCATACTCCCACTACCTTTACACTGTTATGGGATTTGAATTGACAACTGCGTCTGTGTGCAAGTGTGTGGTATGGCAACTTGAACTGATGTATGTACGTACGAAGTTCTACATTGTTGTTGACTAACTGACTGACTGAATACAATGGATGAAATACAATTGTAATCAAGTATTACTATTAACTTTCTCTTAGACCAAAGATGAAATATGGTGTATAAAAGAAGTATAGTTTACTATTTTTTTTTTAGAGGACTTGACTTTCCCGTCTTCTCCAGTTAGCTTCGCTTTAACGCTTTACATATTCATTCCTATGTCTATCTGTAAGAACAATTGCCTGAAATAAACTCAACCAACCGAATCTTATTACCGCCGTTGCACAAACGGGGTTCGCCTAAGTATGATATCCGAAAATTGAAGGAGAGATTTATTTCATAGCATATTTTAATAGTTCTTAAGTAAAAAGGAGTCAGCTCACTGGCCACACTAAAGTAGTGAGCCCTACTTTAAACTCAACGCAGCCCACAAAAACTATACAAATGTTCAACAATGGTAATGATAATTGAAGTTTAGTTAATTTTTAGGAAAGATTCAGTTTAAAATTTTACAATAACTATTGTGAATCAGTCAATGTTAGTCAGTCAATCAGTCAGATGCAAAGTAGAACTTCGTACGTAAGTACATCAGTTCATGTTGCCATACCACATCAGCACAGAGAAGTAATCGTCAATTCAAATCCAATAGTAGAAGAGGTAGTAAAGGTATTAGAAGTAATCGGAGATTAGGTTAGGATTAGAAGATACTATTCAAGAAGTATGATTCAGTGAGATAAGTTTGGAAAGTAAAAAACTAGAGGTGTTGAAGAATCCAGAAGATTAGGATTTGAGAGAACACAAAGAATAAATGCACTGGCGCCATTGCGAACGATTTTGAGGCATGTCATTCAAGGTCTCTAACCATCGATTATTATCATCTCGCGGACCTCAACCAGGTAGTCGACAATTACCAACATGACTAAGTCCACTTGTCAATGACTTCATGGATTTGTGCCATGTTTTGGTTTGGCCGACCCTAACTTTCTTCCAACCTATTCCTACACTACAAAACAAAGCTCTTCGAGGCAGTCGGTGGTTCGGCATACGCAAGACATGTCCCAACCAACTCAACTGATGAAGTTTCACCACTTCATCGATTGATCTGCGATCCTTGCCGAGTACTCGTTTTCTAACGACAGCATTGCTCACTTGGTTGTCCCACGGTATACGAGCAATGCTTCGAAGACACCTATGATCGAAAACCAGTAACCTACGAATATCTTCTACTCTCATTGGCCATGTTTCACAGCCATATAGGAGAACGGAGCGAACCACTGCACAGTACACTCGTCCTTTGATTAGAGAACGGATATCACGCCTACGCCATAAGTGACGCAGGTTGGCAAAAGCCAATCGAGCCTTCTGTATCCGAGCTGAGATTTCGTCAGTCACCAGGCCATCGGCACTGATCAGACTCCCAAGATAAGTGAAGCGGTCTACACGCTCGACTATTTCACTCCATATCACTAGTTCAGGTGACAATGCAACCCAGTCTTGAAGTAACATTTTGCATTTCGAGGGGGAAAACCGCATCCCGAACATGCTTGCATTGTTGCTTAGGGTAGTCAGAAGACGCTGCATTTTGTCGGCATCTTCACCAAGTAGGACAATGTCATCGGCATATTCTAAGTCAATAAGCGAGCCACCTGGTAGAAGGTCTACTCCAGAAAATTCAGACGAGGATAAGGTTATTTCTAGGAGCACGTCTATGATAAAATTAAACAAAAATGAAGAAAGTGGACATCCCTGGCGGACACCACTTGATGGAGAGAATTCCGGTGACAGTTCGCCATAAGCCCTCACTCGACCAGTGGTGTTCGAGTAAAGGGATTGCATAAGGTTAATGTACTTCTTTGGTATAGCTTTCAATGTTAGACAACCATTAGAAACCTGAAAGCATTGGACAACCGTTTCGTCCTGGCATGGGACTGACTCACCATCATAGTTTCAAAAATGTGTAACTTAACAATCTTCACAACCCCGTAATACAACAATAACTATTACCACAATTCAACATATTTGAAGATCATCAAGTTTTATTCTCTTTTGCTAACAAATAGAATGAAATCAATAAATAGCTTACAAGATAACCAGCAGCTAAGATTGGAAACATTAAATATCCTGGATATATACGAATATAACATCCAATAGAGCATAAAATAGCAGCCAATAACAAATGACCTAAATTTAAAAAAAAAAGTTAACAAGAAGTAATTTATTAACCAGTAATGACTGAATGAAAACATGACACCTGCCTATGAAGTCACTAAGTATTCATGTGAAGTTATATTATTAAATATAAGCTTGTATTGGTTATGTCATATGACTTTGGGACATTAGATTACATCACCTAAAGAATCAATAGAAAAGAGGCGCAGTTATAATCATGAAGAAGGGTGGCTTACTAGTTAGAGAGTACACAACTTTCAGTCATTAAGTTTCAAGTGTGAATACAGGCAGGCTTTATCTACTTGATTTTGGGGAATCAGGTATTGTCACTTAGTTTTCGTCAAAGCCTAAGTAGACAAATATGTACCAGAAAAATGATGACGACTATTATTCAAGTACTATGTGAGAAATATCGACCTCTGAAGTCAGTCAGTTGTCAGCTACAACATAGAACTTCGTACGTATGTACGTACATACATCAGTTCACATTGTCATACCACATTAACACACAAACAGACTTAATTGTCAATTCAAATCCTATAATAGTAAAGGTAGTAGAAGTATTAGCGGTAATCCAAAAGATTAGTGATGGAAGATATTATTCAAGGAGTATATCCTAGAGGAATCGATTTGAAAGGAAGAGGGAAAAAACAGTCATGAAGAATTCAGAAGACTAGAATTTAAGAGAGAATACAAAGAATGGATGCATCTGCACCACTGTAAACGATTTTTAGACGTCATTCTAGGTCTCTAACCATCGCTTAGTATCGTCTCACGGACCCCAACCAAGTAATCTACACTTGGCAACATGGATTTGTGCCATGTTTTGATTGGGAGTAAAAGCTGCATATGCATGCTTTATAACAAACGAATAAAAACAGATGCATAAAACTAGACAACTTATTCAACTTGAGAGAAGAAATTCAACTTTGTTAATCGATAAATTTCGCGGCAGTAATTTCGACTGTATAAACTGAGCGCTAATCAAAGCTACTACTAACGTTGATTCACGTGACTTTGTAAATGTCTATCTAGAAACTGTAACGTAAACTGATGGTAAGGAGTAATCGATCCGAAGGATATTCTTAGTATAAATACCAATTCGAGTACATTGCTGACGTTAATTACCATTCTTAATAACAGGAAGGATGTTCGTATCTAGGAAACGAGTACTAGGTAAGGATGGCAGATCAATAAATGAAGTGCTGAAACTTCATCAGTTGAGGTGGTTGGGACATGTCTTGCGTATGCCCAACCACCGACTGCCTCGACGAACTTTGTTTTGTAGTGTAGGAGTAGGTTGGAAGAAAGTTAGGGGCGGCCAGACCAAAACATGGCAGAAATGCATGAAGTCATTGACTAGTGGACTGAGTCATGTCGGTAACTGTCGACTATCATCTTGTCGGGGTCCGCGAGATGATAATAATCGATGGTTAGAGACCTTGAATGACATGGCTCAAAATCGTTCGCAATGGCGCCAGTGCATTTATTCTTTGTGTTCTCTCAAACCCTAATCTTCTGGATTCTTCAACACCTCTAGTTTCGACTCTCTAAACTTTTCTCACTGAATCATACTTCTTGAATAGTATCTTCTAATCCTAACCTCTCCGATTACTTCTAATACCTTTACTACCTCTACTACTATTGGATTTGTTTCGACATTTGCGTCTCTGTGCTGATGTGGTATGGCAACATGAACTGATGTACTTACGTACGAAGTTCTACGTTGCATCTGACTGACTGACTCATATCTAGATGAAAACCCAGTAACAAACAATACAGGGCGCCATAATAAATCAATTTCCATTGAAAAAAGCAGTTTCAATAGAATCACAAGAACTGACACTGAAACTTACTTCTACAAATAGCAATATTGATCCATAAAAAGACAATATTATACACAATAATTGTCGAATTGGCAGCTGAAACCAGTATTGAATAAGGATTAAGCGCGTACCTGTAAGTTTAACAAGACTTAGGTTTAAAATATTTCATAGGATAATCTATCTGAGTGAAATATAGGGAAAAAACATGTGTTTTCTATTCACCTAATTAAGGAAATGCATAAGGAATTTTATTTGAAATCGTTTGATATTACATCATAAACTATGCTGTAATCGATTGATTCTAAAAATAAGAAAATCCATTGAAAATTATTAAAACCACTAAAATTAGATCATCTCCATATTTTTCTTCTGAAATAGTCTCAATAAAAGACAACTCTTTGATACCTGTTGTGTTTATTAGTTTAAAATGCTTTGTTATGATATTTATTTCTTCTAACCCTTCGATTTCCCTTGTTTTCGTCTCTTAAAACAGACTTTTAGGTAGATTTTGATAAAGTTTTACTCATCTTTCACGGTACTCCAAACCTGTTGACAATTTCAAGGCAACCTGTTAATTTAGTAGAAGCTTGTAAAATTTACCAATCTTTCTCAATATTTTTATTTCAACTACCAATATTTATGACTGCTGTACTCAGAGTGGTTTGCATACCACAAAGAGGGACACCAGGATGAATATCGATTTCATGATCAACTACAAAAACTAGATAGTTTTTATTGTAATTTATTCTTGACTTGACATTTTCGAACTGAACTCTAAGTAATCATTCCGTTTTGGATTTTTGTGTCCAGTGATATTTAGACAAACACGTGCTAACGCTAAAGGTTGATCACGGTCTGCATATGTGAAGCAGAATGAGTGATAGCTTCTTATCAAAGCTATACACGTCTATGGAGGAAAGTGAGACGTTCTTTTATGGCCGATCCCCATTAACCATATCCGTCCGTTTTGGAAAATCTGAATATCTGTATATGTTAGTTTTTGATGGAAACACAACTCCAATCGCACTCCCATAAAGACGGTACTACAACTCTAACCTCAAGCTTTGCGGTTGTCCCTTTGAGTTGTACTGTTTAACAACCAGCCGAGAGTTTCAAATAACAGCTTAATTAGGTCAACATGATAGACAAGCTGAAGTGAGACGTCAATATAGCAACTAACATCGAGTACTGAATGCACCAGCAATATGTCATGAAGATGGTGTATAAGATCCTTTAGATCTCTTTGAAATTTCTAGCTTATAAATAACAAGTTCTCAAAGCATATTTACTACTTGATATCATGCAATTTATCATAGTATCTCAAACAACAATATGCCTAGGTCGTTTAGTCTACATAAAGACTAAGGAAGTCTTCACAACATATTATGGAGGTCAACGAGACCGCCTTTACTTATTATCTACTGATGATGATCACAAAAACGTACGGGAAAAACAATAGATTCAGACGAACAATGGATTATTGCGATTCGAAATAGTGGAACTTTTAGGTAAACTATACTACGTTTACTTTGCTAACTCTCAAATGCCCATACAGTATTGAAAACTAAGGAAGTATAGACCGGAAATATCGTTGAACCGATAAACGGGAGAAAGAATTAAGTCAGTTTTGCTAATATGTTCGTATTATCATATGTTTTCGTGTCTGTTAAGGCTAAAAGCACTTACCATATCATTACAAGTGACTGAAGCTTTCGGAGATCCGTTTGTTTTATTAAAAGGTGATTCGACGAATCATGTACCGATGCTTTGTCGCGACGTTGAATCGAAAGAAAGTAATTTAACATTGACTCACAAAATATGAACATGGAGATCAGTAAGATGAACTCAAGAACCTAGGATAGTAAGTAATCAACTTGGCTACGAACCAAAAAGTAAATAGTGCCGTCTCCATTAGTGAGCTTCAATAAGTAGGACCATATTAATAGCAACAAAGGAGGCTAATAATCAAAATTTGATGTTAATCTATTCCAACCTGATGTACTACATCACCATCGTAGGCAGAAATACCATGTTTTTGCAAATATATCCCTTCACTAACTGTGGCAATTCAATGCTTTATTAAAAGCTTACCAGAATCCCACTGGTCTAATGATGAATATGTGAGACTATCCAAAAAATTCTTGGATGCATATTTCTTGACCGAATTTCTAAGTATAACTCCAAAAATCAAAGCCACCAAACAATCCCAAGTCATTTGTGAAAACAGCTGTTAGGTCACAAGTGGAGTAAAGTTAAGTAGATAAACAATTTTAACACTAAAGTTTTCTCAAAGTTCTGTGGTACCCAATATTCAATTTTTCACGGGCCAGTATAAACGGACTGATTTTTTTACATATTTTTCTTGTTGTTTTGGTACTGATTCAGATATCTAGTCATCTCCAGTAATTGGGAGTCTAGACATCCGACTACACTGATTCTAGTCATTTTGTACTTCTCTATGAATTCGTATGTCCCGTGATTTGAATGAGATTGTTTTTCTGAATGTTTCTGAATGCCAGCAGCTACCACGCTACTTAGTAGGATGTCAGCTGACTACTATGTGAGAAATAATAAATATTTTGCTAGTGTTCATTAGAAGTCGAATATTTTATAAACTAAATAGACAATATAAGCTAATTGTTAGGTGATTCAGATAGTTCGGGAGGGTCGAATTGCAAGGATAAAGATGGAAACAAAGATTATATTAGGCAAGGTAGAATAGGTTGGTGACCTGTGGAAGTGATAATTATTACAGCATGGCTAGCCCACATGTCTGTACTTAATTGTCAAGCCCCCTCTTGAAGCTGTTCGCGACGCGGCATCTGACTCCGGTTTTGAGGAACCTTTGAATATTTTATAAAGTTAATCTTCCTTTCAATTTCCGTACTCCATAATTAGGCGAACACTGTTGGTGAGGCGGCACTTATTACAGGCCCAATACGGATCAACTCGGATGAGTTCATTTCAGTCAATCGTTAACTCAGAAAAGCATGAGAATGCAACGGGTAAGGTAGAGAGACGTGGTGTGGAGATGGTGAGTGAGCCAAATCATTGCGACAGGCTTGATTAGCTACTTATCGTTAGAAAAAAATAAGCTATACATGCAATAAACGAAGTAAGCATACAAAGAGCTGGAACAAGCCATGTGGGCTCAACATATTAGTACAGAAATACACACTATCCACTGAAGGAGTTGTCGTCACCCTGGCTGGGATTACATTTCAAGCAGGGACGACTCTTAACGAGAAAAGGTGGGCACTGAACTTTTATTTCTCTGGAGTGTCAGTACTAATGATTGCCATTACAATACTAAAATTTACTGATCTACCAAAGTAAGTAGTGATTAATGGATGGTTATACCAAATTACGTTTTCCGTATTTCCATTTTCTGGTTTTGTTCAGGTGTGGTCTACATTTCCAACCAATTCTGGACTATAACCACGAAATATGTAAAACGACGTCGCAAGTGCCGTGTGTAGCCAGCGATCTTAAACATCACATGGTGACTACATGGCCATCTGGATTCCCGAGGATGTACAGAACAACCGGAAAGCTATAAATAACCGAAAACGAATTCAGTTACATGACGTATTGAGAAATTATCCAGGCATCATTCATTGCTACGATCTTTCTCTAAAGGAGATGGAGACGATTAGCCTCAAACAGGTGACCAATGCGAAAACCACATCGCATCGTCACTAGTTGTCACATGCTCATGACTGTTAACTTTACAGACACAACTGTTTCTAAATATTCCCTTCGTTTGAGGTTATAACTCAAATCTCTAGTTACGGAAGACAGCTTTTAAACAACAACCATCAATCACTTTAGATTATGCAAATTTCGAATGTGCCCTCTCGCTAAGAAACGCATCTCGGACCTTCCAAGGAATCATCGAAACCTTGGTGTGCATAATTTCGTAATATATTCATGGAGTCATATGAAATATTAAGCTAATCTGAACGTGTATCAAGAAAGTTGAGACATTTACACTACTGGCGTTGTTTCATTTTGTTAAGGCTCGATTGCATATGGTGGCTATGTATCTGATTTTGTGTTTGAGGTCCACACCTTGCAGCTGGAGTTCAGAGTTACTGAGAGTATATTACAAAAGCATAGTTGACATTTATTCGTATTATTGTCTTCTGAATGGTTGCATTTGATATCGTGCCAATTATGTTGCACTTACTATCGTAGAATAAAGGTTTCTTTTCTCAGTTCGTTTATGGGTTCTGATTTTGGTAGTTGAGCGTAATTAATTGATCCATATTTACTCCCCACCCTACATGAGTATTCCATTCGCAACATACTCAACTTCCAGTCACTCAGAAGACTTAGCATGTATGTTTGTGCTTGGATACCGACAGAATAACCAAGCTGAACGAACACGACCTCATTGTCCCAGAACAGTTCCTCCTTGAACACTGACCAGCTCACCGTCCTTTTCTGACGATGTTTTAAAATAAGAAAATCATTTCCCTGGTTGAAGTCTCATTTCCCTTCACTCCCAAGGAATAAGTTGATTATCTAGAACAGTTGAAGATGCTCTAATAATGCAGATGGTTGATACTACCATGGGATTTTACCTGACAATTGTACTTAGAAAATCAAACTCATTGAAATAATTCTGTAACCCCATTCAATGAAGTCCACAGGACATAATAGTAAGGTTTTGTATCTTCAATAGAAATTCCTAAACAGAACCAAGTTCCCATAGTGTTTTTCAAGGAAAATGGCATTGCGAAGTCTTCACAGTTTACTGCCTAATTTATACCAATGCTGGAGTTTGACGTCTAATTGCATTTGATTCCTATCGCTTAATCATTATTTGTTTACAAGGAAGCTATTCATTCATAACAATTATTGGCAATCATCGCTCAAAGATTACACAAAAATTAATTAGTACCAGTGTTGTAACGCTTGCTTAAATAATTCCCAGCTAAATCCTATTGCTTAGTATTCTCTGACCACAATACACTGGACAAGTTCCAAAGAATCAAAAACACGGTTGAACAGGAAAAGATTATATTCCGAATAGCAAAGTTAAATGGAAATAAGAAGCCAAAGGTTATGGCGAAGGCGAAGGCAAAGAAGGCAAAAATAGATACAACATTAGTCTATTTATAGCTTTTACATGAGAAGCTTCAGGATAGAAATTCACGTGATCGACTGGATCAGATTTAGCCAATCAGCATGCAGCTAACAATACGAGAATTTTCAACCCGGTTCTCCAAGGATCGATCAGGCGCTGATTGGATAGGAAATTAGCCAATCAGCGCGCAGCAACGTAGTCATGCTTTAATTCCACCTATGTCCCACTAACACCTCCCCTTTGAGAAGATTCGTAGGATCTGGTGCTGGAGTCCAACTGCTTCCTGGGTGCCTTTCCACCCGTACACTTACGAGCCGCCTGCTTTGTAGGAGCCATATCTTTAAACAACCGTCGATTGGGCTGCTTCCCCATCGATGGGTTTTGTTGAGGCTCCTGAACAGCATATGGTATAGGGCGTCTCGGATGTGAAATAGGTTTGGCATCTGCTTTCACTGGTAGGTGAGCTTTCATATTAGGACAGCGGCCACGGCTATTCTGGAAAACAGAGCCTGACTTCCTCTTCCGTTTATCTTGTAACCTTTCACCTCTTCTTTGTAAGTATCGGGGTATCCAATGATGAACACGATACGCTGCAGACACTGTTAATGGGTAAATCCATTATTCCCAGCTATTCTAGCATATCTAGACCAAGAAGTTCAAGGTTTGGCCGTCCTATCAGATAACATATTCCTGTACATTTTGTTCGGTTGAAGGAAAATTCACACTGGAATTCACCAATAAGTTTTAGCACACCACCTGAAGCGCTTTTAGCTGTTTTATTAGCTGGCTTCATTGGCGGTTTTCCCAGCAAGTTATAGTTTTTTTTTGACACTAAGGCTATATCTGATGCCGTGTCGATTTGAAAACGAGCTGATGCACCGTTCATCTGAACAGTGATATACTTTCTCCGAACGTCATAGTCCGTTTGAAAAGCAGCTACTAGAGAAAGTGATTTAGACTCGGCTAATTTCACCACATGTCGAGTACATTTGTGCTTCTTCCTGGGCTGAGACGTACAATTTGGTTGACAATGGCCTTCTTTATGTCCACGTTTGTTGCACATCTGTCACTCGTGTTTTTTAAATGGACAGAAACGTAAGTAATGCAAATCACCACATAACCAATAACCAGTTTGACTTTTTCTCTATTATAATTACAGGTTTTAAGTACCATCAATTGGTAACTACATTTTTTGAAGTACTTCGTCTAGTTTGTTCAGGTCATCGATTTTTGGTTCGCGTCATTGGGGATAGACAGTCACAGACATGTTAATTAACCACATCCATCATATAAAGTAGAGACTTAACAGCTTTTGTCTGACAATTTCGAGTTACTTTATTTTAGTGAGAATGCACATTAGCCCTCTGATTACGTCCGTAGGAATGAATAGGACGGCCTTCTGAGAGTTTATTAAATAAGCTTACAAATCCTGTTATTCGATTTGTTGTTTTCCAAACAGTGCGACAACTTCTTTGATGATATTTGACCCGCTTGATGTCATCAGCAAATGAATGATGTTGGTGTTGAGTCGAAGTATCTTACTAGTCATCTCGATTTTAGTACTAGCTTTGGATGGTCTATATGTAGTTTTAAATCTGACAACTAGAATTCAATATCTTCATGACCCAACTGATGTTCCACCTTTTTGACAGTAACCTATGTATCCCGGATTTTGAGCCCTAAAAACCCTGTGGTTCTTACATTCATTTAAACTTACAAGATTATAAGAAATCCAATCTAGATTCCCAAAAAAGCATACAAATCTACCTTTCTTCTTTTCCGTTATTCTCATCTGATATTCTTCAGTCAAAGATGCACTGCTTTCTGACTTGAAAAGGGTTATAGTCACACATATGTTGGAAGTATGCAACAAGTCCAAAACTTACAATCGAAAGAAACGTTTATCAATAAAATCACTAAACCATGAATCTTCTTACCGGATACGATAGGAGCATCACTTTCTTCAGGTTCCTCCAAAACGTGGCTCGAAGGTTATCGCAGTTCCATAGGTACTGGTAGTGATAGCCCTAGGTGTTGTTTCACGATAACTTAACCAATAATATTTTAAAAATCTTCCACTTTGAGCTTTAACAACATGCCAAACCATTAGAATCACGGATTTTATCCCTTTCTGTAGAGTCTGTCTTTTGACTCTTAAATATCGTCGTTTATTACGATCTACGAGACTTAAGTCAGGAAGGTATATAATTCCCATTCATCACAGCTTTGTAACCCCACCCTGACAATAAGCTATTCAACATAGGGTAACCGAACTTCACTTTAAGGAGACCTTTTTGGTGTACTGTGAGATTATGGTTCAAATCCTAGATCTGGTCTCATGGAATATTGTATCTGTCTTAATGCTGCCTGAATTTGGATGCATATCCTTTCACTGGATATCAAAAGAAGTGGCTAGTCAGCTGGAGAGTTAAACTTTAGCAGTTGTATACACCATTCATCTATAATATTTCCTTATTTCCATCAGACACTTATCATCTTGCTAAAGTAAATTTTTCAAATCTCTTACTCATTTCACGAAGTGTCTTTCTGCTGTTTATGGAATTAATTGTATCTTGAATACTTCATAGAAAGTGCTATTTTCGAATCTTAGACATGAACACTTTCTTAGAGTTAAGAACCCAACTGAAATAGATAAATATAATCGTAAACCTAACAAATATTATTTATGATGATAACTATAAAAACAAACTCACTACAAACTTTCGATAATGATGATTCTTAGAGTACTTTAACAAACAAGCGATCACGAATTAAGAACGAAACTAACAGGTTATGGTCAAAGTTATGAATGAATCAAGTTTAAAGCTTCAGTAAAAAAAGAATATTTCGAAACCAGGTTGTTAAGAAGTAATATTTACAAAAACAGTTTATTATCAGATAAACAGTAAAAAGTTTTCTCATAACAAAATGATATGTTTTCTCATGATCACATTCCTAAATGAACTTAACAGAGATGCAAACAACCAAAAAGGCTCCATCTTGACTTTTTTTTGTACCTTGCAGTACCTTCAGTATTATGATGCTCTTTCGTCAATGGTTCATTTATCGTTAGATTTCTCTGTAACATCAGTTAAATAACCGTCACTAAATACTTTTATTCAATTTCATTAAGATCTAATAGAATCTTTTAGTGTAACAAAATGTTTTGTGTTGAACAAAGCTATTAATGATATAATCTGAAATGTAATACTTTTCAATACATATTAATAAAAGTTATAATCATAATCACATTTCGTTGTCCATAGTTTCAAACAAAATAAGATAATAATATAATCAACATTTCTAGTAATAACAGGATGCAATCCTAGAATTCACAATTTTAAAAATATGAAATACAGAAACAATCCGATATGAAATATTGATACCATTGATCAATTCAAACAAATTTAAATATTTGTTCACATTGGATTTGTGTGTACATAACTCACAGATATAAATATCATGTAGTGTTGAAATCAACTTACATTTAATGATTTTCTCCATTATTAATTTCTTTAAGTGATTTTAAACGTGATAATAAATGTTGTGGTATTAAACGTTGTCTATTACGACTTACAAATGGTGTATATTGTATGTTTGTCAATGTATCAAGACTAGATTTGTTTGTACAATCTAACTTAGAAGGCATATTTAAATGTGGTTGTTTTAAATTGGAACTTTTTGTTTTATTCAATGTAGTATTGTTTAATTGAAATCCTAAATTAGTAGATGGTAAAAGTGTGGGATATGATTTTGCACAAATATTTACTTCACTGGTTGTTGTTCCATCAGATGGGAAATTTGTTCGAATAACGTGATTTACCTAAAATTCAAACAGATGATACTTTAGGGAAAATCAGATATTGAGGAGATTAGTGGTGAATATTTGCTTCATTTAAACAATAATACCATGATCAAGTAAATTTCAGTATACTATTGATAATTGACTAATTTACATTGTGAAATTATTGCATCGCAGTAAACACTGACATTTTCACAGACAACTAACATATGACTCCGTAATAATTCTACTTAAACAGTAATGCAGTTTTTACAGATCAAAGATGACTTACAAAGGTTATTTCAAATGGAAATTATTCTTTATCATGGATTGAAGTCAGCGATAAGAATGTTGGACAATCGAAAGCATTTAACAGTTGTTTTATTCAGTTGTTTAACTCTCAATAGGAGTGATAACTTACAGCTTTCTACTAAGTTAAACCGAGGATCTGTAAGTCATATGGTGAGTTTGTGTTAGGAGATTCATCCAATAACCTAAGAGAATTATTGGTCAAATCCTATTGGTCGATTTCTATTGGTCAAAAAATTATGGTCGTTTTAACTGTCCAAGTCAAATACTTTAATGTTGTCGCTTATCGGTCATCCGGACTGTCAATGTCATTTCAAATGTTCTTTCTTATTGGTTGCCCTGACTATCAATATCACTCCAAATGTTACTTCCTATTGGTTGTCTTAACTGTCAGTGTCACAGAATTCGATGCTGTTTCCTATTCGACCAAAATGTATAAATACGCATCATCTGTAACGTTTTATGACCATGAACGGGACCAGTACTCGGTGCCGGATCCCTAGTCCACGATCCTGATTCTCTTCTGGATTCGGACCTCGTACTTTCTGGATGTTTGTAGAATACAGGTTTTACTTCATATCACCTCTTCTTCTTTTCACTGAATAAGGGGGTTGGGATGATCGGATTTGAGCAGCATGTCGTGTCACCGGATCCTCGATCCTCACTCTAGTTTTCTGACTAGGTAAACTCGTAATAGTTCAAGTATATCAAGTTGACGTGTTTACGTGTAGGTGTAACAGTTTGAAACATTTAGACCAATGAATTAAAGTTTATCAGTCCTACCTTGCTTGATCATTACTCTCTGTCTTCTTCCTAGACGGGTAGGTATTCTTTTTGAAATTGGTCACAACTGAGCATATGATCGATTAATGTTAGACCGCCATTAGAAACCCAGAAGCACTGGATAGCCGTTTCGTGCTAATATGGGACCCATCAGCATTGCAACTTTCAGGGGTTCAAATCCAGGACGTTCGGTCTTGCATACAAATACCTAACATTTTGACCACTGAGCCCGTATCTGACGATGTTAATGTCTAAGTCCGATCAATTCACAGTCTTGCGCAACCTCATTCACTGTCTTCGGTGAGCACTGCTTCACACCCGAACAGGGTTGAACTCCACTTGTCACAAATTCTCCCTAGAACTTGGAGATACTTCCTCACGGAGCTAGTCACTAGCGAGCACAAGTAATTTAGATTATGGGGTTGCGGAGATTGTTGAGTTACTTTTTGAAATCATGAATCGATCAATGTTAGACCACCATTAGAAACCTGCGAGTTGCGGAAGTCATGGATGCGCTCTGTTGATGAGTTCCATACCAGGAAGAAACGGCCCTTTCAGTGCTTTTAGGTTACTAATGGTGGTTTGACAATAATTCATTCATCATTTCAATGTATAAAACTATGATCTCCAAAATAATCTAAGTCAAAAACAATCTAAGCTAATCATTCAGAGTATCAATACAAACTGATACAAACTCATCACTTATTCTAATTATCTCACTTGATTATTATTTGTGTTTAAATGTATTCTTGAATTGCTTGAAGACTCAATGACAGTGTTTAGTATAGTAGATGCCGGTATGCTTACTGTTGTCGTTGTAGTGATTACTGTCATTGGTTTACACTTCAAGGAAGATTTTCCTAAATCATTGTACTGATCATTAGTTCCGCTGAAATTCAATTGTGCATTTACATGATAAAATTGTGTTAAGTTAGTATGAGTATTCGGTTGACGATAATGTTGTTGATGATGATGATGATCAATATTCTTATAACGATTATTGTTACCATGGTTACCGCTGGAAGAAATACAGCTGGATGATAGTGTTTCATTGATCGTTGTACTTTTTGATGTTCTACGTAGTCTATAATCATGAAATAAATTATCTAAATCACTAGATGAATGTAATCGTATCACTGATGATGATGAACCACCAGTAGTAGTAGTAGTAGTAGTAGTATTTGAACCGATTAAATATGATTTTGAATTAAATTTAGTTGAATTAAATATATTACTAGTAGTAGTAGTAGTAGAAGAATTGTTAGTAGTAATAGTAGTAGTTGTACATGTTGTATTACTGATTGGTCGATTTCTTATTACACAACCAGGTAATAAAGGTGCAGAAAATAAAGGAGCTGAAGCAAATCGTCGATTTTGTACATCCAACTGTGGGGAAAAAAATTTTTTTAAAAAAATGATCAGTCAGGTGAATGATTGTGGCGGATTCTCGTTTTCTGAGCTGGATGTTTCGGTTGTGGAGCTTTCATTGTTCTTCTGAACAATAAACATCATCAGCCCGAACTTTGAATATTTCACTTCTATCTGAAGTTAATGCTAACGATGTTGTTCAGAAGCGTAGTGAAAGCTCCACAACCCAAAACATCCAGCTCAGAGATTGAAACTTCAACACGAACTAGAGTCTCCATACACATGAAAAGCATTTGCAGTATCAGGTTACCTATGCTCCATTGATCAGTTGGTTTGCTTTTCATATACATTCAAATTGTTTTAATTGGGTACTTACCTTACTTTATTGAGTCTGAGTCTTCGCATCCTAGATTAGATCTTTGGCAGGGTCGTGGATACGCACTACTAAGCAGTCTTACGCTAGGGAGAAACATCTATCTATCCTATGATTACTAGCTTTACTAGTTATCTATTGAAATTTTAATCTGCGGTGTGGGATCACCAATAAAATATTGTTCATAACACACTTGAGAAACAAATACAATATCGTTTCTCTCGACCAAGGTTTATTCTTTTTATAAAGAGCCTAGAGTTATGGAGAATGTTGTTTTGAAATAGTGGAGAAAACGTGTATCTCTGATGGATGATTGTGGCGATATTCATTATTGAAATCATGAATCAAGATTGATCAGAATAAGACAGTAACACCGTTCGATGCCGGCTCCGGTGGTCCAGAGGTAAGGCGTTCCTGCGCAAGGATCCTACGAGTAGCGGAAGTCGTGGATAGGCACTGTTGACAAGTTCCATACTCAGACAAGACGGCCATCCAGTGCTTCCAGATACCTAATAGCGATCTAACAATGACTGATTCATGATTTTACGTTTAAAATGTGAATAGGATATGTTAAACCAATGAATAAAATACTCTAATCGATAGATAATTTGTCTTGTTAAGTTAAGTATGATCAAGAAGAAACTGTTCAAGAGATTGTGTAATTGACTCATACTGTAGTGAAGGAGAACACAGGTGGGGTAACCGAACTGTATTTAACGAAAATTACAGAGTTACTCAGTAAAATCGGTAAACCATATCGTAAATCGTTCATTTGCAAAATATCAGTTCATCATATCGAACTGGACTGTTTCTATTGCAAAACATCAATCCATTGTCACTATTCATACGTTTCATAGAAATTCCATTGTGTTCTAACTCTTCGTTTCTTGATCTTGCCCCATCTTCTGCTGCCAGACATTACGTTGACACTCACGTCATATGCTACTTATAAGTAGCTCGCACCACACTACTACTGTTGAATAAGTCAGTCAGTCAGTCAGCTACAACGTGGAACTTCATACGTAAGTACAACAGTTGAAGTTGCCATACCACAATAGCACGGAGATATAATTGTTAATTCAAACTCCATTGTAGTAGAGGCAGTAAAAGTATTATAAGTAATCGGGGAGATTAAGGTTCAAAGATGTTACTCAAGAAGTATAATTCAGTGAGGTAAATTTAGAAAGAGAAAGATAGAGGTGATCAGGAATTCAGAAGCTTAGGACATGAGAGAGCACAAAGAATTTATGCAACTGGGCCATTTGCAAACGATTTTGAGCCATGTCGTTCAAAGTCTCTAACCATCGATTATTACCATCACGCAGACCCCAACCAGGTAGTCTGCATCTACCAATATGACTTAGTACACTTGTCAGTGACTTCATGGATTTTATACCATGTTTCGGTTTGGCCACCCCCTAGCTTTTGTCCAACCTATTCCTACACCACAAAACATAACTCTTCGAGGCAGCCGGTAGTTAGCCATACGTAACACATGTCCTAACCACCTCAACTGATGAAGATTGACCTGCCATCTTTACCTAACAACCGTTTCCTAACAACATCATTGCTTACTTGACTGTTGAATTAACACTCATAACACAATCGATATCTCTAGTCAGAAGGAGGGATATATAGTCAGTGATATTTAGTGACATTTCTACCACTACACATACAAAAATTATATACGATTACATAGAAATACCTCATTGATTTTATTTTCTGATATACTTTTAGAGCTTTGTTCATTATTATTTAAATTCATTGTTGTTGTTATTGTTGTTTGAATTTGTGCACTAGGTGTTAAATGTCCACTGTTCAATGAATTCTCATTATTCAATGAATTTAAATGATTAAATAAATTATTTGTTGATTTACTAAAATTATTATTATTATTATTATTATATTTTTGATTTTTATTCAGTGTAGTAAATTTTGTTTTATTGTGTTCATTGATAGTGTGAGTAGTATTAGTAGTAGTATCATTTGTATTCAACCAATTATGTGATGTTGACGATGATGATGATGATGTTGAAGTGACTGTTGATAATAAAGATGGTTTTGTTTTAATCGATGTAGAAGATTGATATTTTAACCAGTCTAATGATGATGATGATGATGATGATGATGACGTTGCTATGGTTACCGCTGTTGACGTTGAACAATTAGGCGTTAATAAATGATTCTATAATAATAAGAGGAAAAAGATATATGTGTGTTTTGAATTAGAAATGTTAGTTTTTATGGTTTACACTAGGGGAAATCATTGTGAACAAATCAGATTCCAGAGGAGAAAGAAATGCGGAAGAAGAGCTGTTGTGCTTTCAGCTAATAGGGGTTCAACTTACTCGGTAAACGGAACGAAGATCAATGTGATTCAACGACACGATTGACTACTTCAATCCGATTATCTTAGACCCCGCTAACTAGAGGAAGAAGTCTTGATAAGACGTAGAGAGAATGTATTCCACAGGCAACAACCAGAAAGTACGAGGTCTATTAAGCACAACACAACTCAAGCTTATTTATACAATGATAGAAATGCCCTTGATGAGAGCCACAAAAGAGTGTACTTAAAAAATCCACAAACCAATGATGGTCAAGGATTTTCCAAGTGGGAAAGGTCATCTAAACGTCTTTGGCGCGAAAATTCAAATTTTCAGAAATAAATTACAAAATCAGGACCTTTTCCAAGTGTGTTCTGGGAATTTAACGTCCCAAACAGATTTACCCTAGGAAAATCATCGAGAACAAATCAGATTCTAGCGGAGGAGGAAATCATGAAGAAGCGCTGGAATTCAGTAGGAGACAAATTGAAGAAAGCTCCCAACTGCATCACAAGACAAGCCCTCATGTGGAGTCCTCAAGGTTAAAGGAAAAGAGGAAGGCCGAAAAAAACACATTACACCGAGAAATGGAGACAGACATGGGAAGACTGAACAGCAATTGGACAGAGTTAGAAAAGAATGGCCTAGGAAAGAGTAGGTTGGAGAATACTAGTTGGTGGGTTTGTGCTCCACTAGGTGTAACAGGCCAAAGTCTAAGTAAAGTAAGGAAAACTATCAGAAACCAATCAAATACTACAGAGATGTTTCGCGTTATCGTAGAATTTCTTCCAAGTATTCATTCACAACTTCAACATGAATAGAAATTAAAATCTTCATGTGTAACTACTAATACAGGAAGTAAATTAATACGTAATCATTCATATTCCACTAATTTCTCAGCTAAATTGTGTGGTGAGCGCTACTTATAAGTAGTATATGACGTGAGTGTAAACGTAATGTCTGGCAGCAGAAGATGAGGGAAGATCAAGAAAGGAAGAGTGGGAACACAATGGAATTTATATGAAACCCATGAATAGTGAAATGTCAGACAATGGATTGATGATGCATTGAAGATTTGCAAATTAACCGTTTACGATATGGTTTTCCTATTTTACTGAGTAACTCTGTAATTTTCGTTAAATACAATTCGGTTGCCCTCACCTGTGTTCTCCTTCACTACAATTGTAATACCGTTTCGTGGTTGTGAAGATTGTTAAGTCACACATTGACATCATGAATTGATCAATGTTAGACAAACATTAGAAACCTGGAAGCATTGGGTTATCAGGACGTGCGCTTTACGAAGTCTAAGGCATTAATTACATTGAATACCGAGAGTTACAGAACTGGTGAGCCTGTAGTGCCTCCACATACATTTCAGTTCGCTTACATTTTAATTTGGTTAAGCCTTTTCGATTAATTTATTTAACCAAGCCATTTGTATTGGGAGCAACAATTTATATGTACCATTCGTTCTTATTATTGTCTGGTTTGTATGAGCTCGTATGACGTGTCTTACTTGTCATTTGACCTTGTCAATCATTCGTCGCTTTTATTCATGTGTGCCTATTTCGCTTGCCACATGTCTGTCTTATATTTTTCTGACTGTATATTCTTAGTCATGCTCCATTTCTTTAAGTTGGCTCATTAGCCTTCTTAATCGTGCATCTCCAGTTCACGTCGCTTCATTAGTTTTATCCGCTGCTTCTCCACATCGCTTCCTTCGCCCATTTGCTCGCTTTCTAGTCCTGGGAGTTGGCTCATTAGCCTTCTTCACACAGCTACATACGATTCGCTTTAGTTGCTCATTCGCTCGCCAGTGTACACAAATGGTGATCCCGACGTCGAAATGGGTAACTACAAGCCAACAAACTCTGAGATAAATTCATGAAGCTGTGGCTGGTGGAATAAAACATAACAGTTACTTACTAACAGGATCAGCTGGTCGATGTTCTCGTGTTAGCCTGAATCGATGTATGAACCACTCGATGCTTAATCAATGGTTTGAAGTATACACTTTTATCGGTAAATTTAATATTCAAGCCTAAATTAATTAGTGCTTGTGCGCTCTTCAAAGGTGACATATTGGGACTAAACAGTTGTTCGGCATGCTCTGAGCTTAACTGTTCTTCAAATGATGTCAATCTATAACGAAGCGCACTGATGATGAGGTCCATATCAGGCTGAAACAACTGTCCAAAGCTACCAAGTTTCCAAGTGGTGGTCTGAAAATACTGCGATAAAACAGTTGCTGACTGTGCTCTGATTTAAAATGGTTCTTTAAATAATGAACTACTGTAGTGAACGAGAACACAGGTGGGGCAGCCGAATTGTATTTAACGAAAATTACAGAGTTACTCAGTAAAATAGGAAAACCATATCGTAAATCGTTCATTTGCAAAATATCAGTTCATCATATCGAACTGGACTGTTCCTGTTGCAAAACATCAATCCATTGTCACTATTCATGCGTTTCATACAAATTCCATTGTGTTCCCACTCTTCTTCCTTTCTTGATCTTCCCCCATCTTCTGCTGCCAGACATTACGTTGACACTCACGTCATATACTACTTATAAGTAGCTCGCACCACACTACTACTAAAGAAAACCAATTCACTCTATAATCAATGAACAACATAACACTTTGGCAAAAAGCACTTACCATTCTATTATTGATTGATATCAATGTTTTACGAGATGAATTGTCAAAGTGTTGATCAGATTTATTGATTAGAGTTTCTGGATGTTTCATTTCATTCAATGAGCTGTTGTTATTCATTGTACCATTGGTATTTACTTGTGAAAATCGATTTTTAAAAAAAAGGTGAGTCAATGCAAAGAATGAATGTTAATAGAAAGAAATCATTCGTTCACGATTGATTGATGTCAATTTGAGTTCCGGTGATTGATAATACTCATAATAATAGGCAGTATTAGATAGCTGTTTCATTCTGGGACTTTCAATAGCGAGTACTCATGATCTAGCTATAAGTCTGTTAGGCATGAACGTCAATATGTCACTTGGTATGCTTGAATTATTATTATGAGTTTACCTTATAGTCGGAAAACGAGAGAGAGGATCGAGGATCAGGCGACACGACATGCTACTCTAAGCCGAGCGTCCTAAACCCACGTTGAGTAACAGGAAGAAGACTTGATATGAAGTAGAATATGTATTCTGCAAGCATCCAGAAAGTACTAGGTCCGAGTCCAGAAGAGAATCAGGATCCTGGACTTGGGATCCGGGTCCTGGTCCAAGTGACAAAACGTTACAGATAATGCGTATTTATACAGTTAGGTCGAATAGGGAACAACGTTTGAAGTGACATTGATAGTCTGGACGATCAATGAGAAACAACATTGAAGTATGTGACATTGACAGTTAGGTCGACCATAATATTGACCAGTAAGAATTAACCAATAGGAATTGACTAATAGAACTAGGATATTGGGTGAATATCCTAACAAGGTCAAACACAAAATCATCAAAATCTAACAATAATCACTTAATCTTTAGACAAATCATCACTTAATCATACTCATTTCTTATTTGAAATGCTGTTTTCATCAGTATCAATATGGAGATCGTCGTGTTACATTAAAATTGTGAAATGTGTTCACTAGTGACTAGCTTCGTGAAGAAATTCCCTGAGTTCTAGTAGGAAGCCATGACCAGTGGAGTTCAACACTGTTGCGTGTCGGCACTAACTACCGAACACAATGGATGAGGTTGCGGAAAAAAATCCTCAGATTGATCAGAGTAAGACATTACCACTGTTGGATCTAGAGGTTGGTCTAGAAATCAAACGTTCTTGTACAAGACAGAAGATCCTGAGTTCGAATCCTGTAACTGCTCGCAGTCGTGGATGCACACTGCTGATGAGTCCCATACTAGGACCTAAACCGCCGTCCATTGCCTCCATGTATCTCATGTTGGTCTAACAACGACTGGTTCACGATTTCAATGCGTAAAAACAACCGATCATGAAAAATCGAACATACACAAGTACCGTAAATTTTTAAAAAAATGCCAAAACAAAAAACACACAAACAAACAACAAACAATTACATTGTTCATTTGAATTAAAATTCAACATTGAATTATTGTTCAGTGTTGTTTGTTGTTGTGCATATTGATAACTATCATGAGAATGATGCAATAATGATTGATTAGATTGTAGTAAATTATTGCTCGATTGATCAAATTTATTCTTAATTAATGTAGTAGCTGACAACAATGGTGAGGATGAATGTGGCAGGGATAAATTAGATGAAGATAATGATTTTCTAAACGAACTATTATTATGAGTATTATTATTTGTCCGACTCATCATTGAATTGGATCCATTCAACTTCCATGTATCTGTTGAATAATGAAGATGTGTTGTTTTACTGTTGTTTTGATTGTGGTTGTTGTGGTTGCTATTGGTGATAGTGATTGTTTGTTGAATGGAATCATTTAATTTCTGAAAAAAATAGTAAAACCAAAAATACAAGGAGAAAGTTAATTTTGATGAAAAATTCAAGTTGTTCAAATGTTTATTTGATGTTAAAATGAATTAATCAATCTGAATGATTTGGATTTCGTAGATGATCTGATTGTTTGTTCCATCCCATCACGTAATAACAAATGCAAAAGAATATGATCAGTTGTTGTAGCCACAGTAGCCGGTGCATCAGTAGGACTCAAGGGAAAAAGCAAGATTCCCCTGTAGAAAGATGTAAAAGTCTCTACAACTTTGGGCAGGACAATTAATGAGTACAGTGGGTCATGTTATACTTGTCAAATCGATATGCTTGAATGCTATGACGAGTTCAGTTTAGTCGGTAAACCAGAGCAAAGACAAATGATCCAGTGAGACGATAGGCTACTCTTATTCGAACATTCCAAGGCCTCACGAAGTAGAAGAAGAAGTCTCGATATGACGTAGGAAGTGTATTTTACAAGCAGCCAGAAAATATGAGGTTGACAAGCACACAAATCGAGTGTATATATATATATATATATATATATATATATATATATATATATATATATATAACTGCGGAATTCGACCTAAGGCCTCCTTTTAACACAGCTGGGTTATGTCGACAACCCTGTTATAGTTAGTTTAGTAGGTCGATGAAGACCGAATTCATCACCCTCTCTAATGCCGCTACCTAGATAACAAAGTATTTCCATGCTCAAATCCAAAACCTAAAGCGACTGCCTAGTGTGTTTGCTGGTGTATATGAACTGTATGGATTTCAGGTTAAATAATTCAAGTGCGTAGGTAAATGCCGCAAAATACACTCATGAGCTTGCATTAAAACGAACATTGATTGAATCGTCTGCCTTAAAACAAAATAGTGAGACCAAAATATTTACAGGTCTTTGGATAAAAAAAATTAATGCATGGCAAATAGAATGCTTATACCTTGGTGTATACC